CACATTCGTTTGTTTTTCGCTTTGCTTTTGTTTTTTTTTATAGCGCTTTGCTAAACTATATACCGCTTTCTCGGCTGTGTGTTACAGGCACAAGTAACATTCTCAAACGTTACGCTACACACGCTAAATTTTCATAAACCCTAACAAATAAGGTGACAAAGTGACGGAAAATAGAACCAAAAAAAGTCAGGTGACATAATACTGAGGTGGGATTCATCACTTACCGTCATATAAACGCTTTGTTTTGTCTTTTATTATATAAAAAACTATCATAGAAGCGTTGTTAAGTCAAAGGCAATTGAACAAGACAAAGCTTATAAAAATTCTAAGGTTATAAAATATGTGTTGCATCGGCAACAAATTAAAATCCATATCCTCGAATACGCAAGTTGATTAAAAAAAAACATTTTTTATATTATCTGGGGTAGACCAAATGTATCCTGTGATTAAAACCTAAAATGTGTCAAAAGTAATAAAGGATATACTTACTACATCCTGAAAGAAAATACAAAATTATCCTGTAGATACTATAAAATATTTGATAAGAAAAGAGCATTTGCATTTTTGGTAAAAAAAAACAAAAAAAATCCCATAACAATTTATAAAAAGTAAAAAGAAACATTAACAATTGGTTTCCACTGCCGATAATAATAAAAAAGAAATAAAAAAATCAAAGTAATTTAGTTTTTTTTTATTATTGTAAAGTAATGAATTATAGTGCGTGAAGTAACAATAAAGCTTTAATTATTTAATGCGTGCGTTAATTATAAAAGTGTACATTTACCTGTTCCTCACTTAAATAGAACTGCAAAGAAAACACACACAACAATGTAGTAACAAGCACATACAGAGTCACACAAACAAACACATAAGCCTAGAGACACACTACACTAAAAAGAGTTACAAATATTGAAAAAAAATCAAAACTAAAAATTACATTACACAAATCATATTCTTTACTTTTGACATATTTTCCCATTTAAAAGTAATTTTGTAAGATATAACTCAAATGTGTAGTGTCTCTCTAGCCTTATAAACATCGAAATACACAATGCTAATTTAACCGTAGGTCTCCACTACCTAACAACCATTCAAAGGCAAATTATCTCAGTTTCATACATACAGTTGTTCTGACAGTGGAAACTTACGGTAAAATTAATGTTTTAATTCTATCTATACATCAAAATTAGCACACATCAAACTTTTTATATTAGGTTAAGCGAGCAAACGGCCAACTGAATTCGCTGAAATAGCGAAGCGACCGCTGCTTATACACATCCGCAATTACAGATGCGTTGCCTACCTTTCACAGACGGAGCAGGGGACGCACAGAAAGGAAATTCCCCTTACTATACGTCCACTCTTCCGTCAAACTTCCTTAGGGAAGGGATGGGAAGGGAAAGAGGATTAAAAACTAAAATCTACGAAACACATAAAAGGGGTCAAACGTTCTTATACAAATGGAAATTTTGTCATGTAATTTTGGTGAAATATGTTAAGATTATATAATTTATTTACGATGTGTTAGTACATTTTATGTTTTAAAAAATATAAAAAATTAGCTCTCAACAATTGGAACAAAACAAGTTGGAACATGAGTGAATGTTCCTTGTAATTAACAAAACACTGCGTACTTATTTCTGTCTTTCCTGTTAGTACCAATCATACAGTTTATTTCTAACTTAGCTGCGCAGTTCTTAAGCACCTAACCGCACCGTAATCAGTTTGGGATTCCATTCCCGCGCTATTCCAATATAATTTTTCAAATTTCATATAATTATTCGACACTTTTACTATAAAGGAAAACATCGTAATGCAATCTGGGTGTACTGCAAAGTCCAAAGATATGCGTGTAGTCAACCGACACTAGGCCAGCATTGTCATGGCTTAGTCACCCTTAAGATAGGCTTCTAGTATCTTAGTACGTTTGTGAGTGTAAAAAAATGTATAAATATACTAGCGGACCCGACAGACGTTGTCCTGTCTACACGTCTTTAATTAATATGAAGTTAATATTTGATGAAAATTGTGAATCTAAACCATTCCCAGATCCCCTAGAACACACACAAAAAATTTCATCAAAATCAGTCCAGTCGTTTGAGAGAAGTTCAGTGACATACACACTCACAGAAGAATTATATATATAAAGATACATTTTTACACTGTATTATATTTAATACTTATATTGTTTTTTATTACTTTTACATGTTTGATTGCCATATAAATATTATTATTCAAAGCATAATATACTTCTTTTGTTATCATTAATATATACTGAACAGTTGTCACGTTATTTTAATAAACCTGGCTATTAAATATTCTGGATACGTCATTTAATAAAAGAAAAAAACATAATAGTTTTAAGGCTTTTGCTATTAGGCGTTTAGCATATTATATTGTTACGTTTAATAAAACTAACTTTTTTTAATCGTGTAATATTTCAGTATTTTGAAGTAATTAAGATTTTTTTTTAGTATATCAGACGATTTTGTAAAAAAGTCGACATACGTAGATAAGATAAGAATCGTTATAAAACGATCGGCGTTGTAATATAGGCCGATAAGTATAGTACTATCCAAACTTTATGTCGGCTCACAATTTTGGACATCACAACTTTAGGTATCGGAGGGAAAAAGATGCGAGGTGTACACACGTGCACTCTTTCCATAGACCATCAGTATGCCCACTTTTTTACGCGTTCTGCGCAGCGACTCATGCAGTGTTCAAAGCTGCCAAGATATTTGTAAAATATTATACTTATAGAAACAATGTGTTAGCTAGCCACGAGCCATCACAAACTTTGAATCTTATAATATTTATTCGCAATCCAGACTTCCCCGCTGTTATCGTACATAATCCGGCGATAACATTACTATTGTTAATTACAACTAAAGAATTAATATTTAATATGTATTATTAATAAAATAGCAAGAATTCAATGTTTATAAAATAAATATGTTCATTGTTTTCTTCACAATTACCTATTGTTGACGTGAATTAAGCTATACTACATTTAATTTACGGCAACATCTGTTAATGCTATTTCCTTGTAGCTCTTTCAATCAGTAAAATATATGTATAAGTACATCATATTACCCCCTATGTATCCATATTATGTGCCTTATGTCAAAGGATTTTTATAGATACCAAAATTGTACATAACTGACCCCTTAAGATACGTGTCCATTGGCCCGCGCCGGACGCGCCGGTCGCATCGCACGCACGGATTCAACGGATTTGTTTTGTCTTTCTATGCGGGCGGCGCGTACGGTGAATCCGGCGTGGCCCAATAGACGCGTACCTTTAATCTATTTAAAAACTGGGATATGTATTTTGTATGAGTGTTTTATTATTGGAGATTCAGTTTCTTTTTTTATGAGTTTTTTATGTTTTAAAGATATGAATGAATAAAGTCATATATATGTAATTATGTTGTCAGTTATTATATTAATATAACAAGTGAGAATTCTCATACATACCTGCTTATGTCTAATTTTAGAGGATGCCTGATAAGCCGCTTCTAGTTTTGGATTACTTGGTGCTTTCTTTGGTCTTGTGTTCTTAATACCTAATGACTTTCCGAATGGTGCAAACCAATATCTAAAACAATTATGATAAACATATAATATATTATAATATAATTTTTTTATTTATTTTTTTGTGTAATCATCATATTTATTTATAAGTCATTGTCCTGTCAAACAAACTCCACAAGCGAGTAACTCAGGAAGAGAGACACCTCTATAAGCGAGAAAAATATTATACTCCTTACATCTCTCCATTATCCAGGATCAACTCTATTATGATTTGTTAATATATTAATGTAGCTTCTTAACATCTAATTATATGTAAACATTATAACTTAGGATCAATACATGATTAAGAAATAAATATTTAAATCTAATAATCTATACAATCAAACATAAGGAAGTTAAATAATGCAGTCAGTTAAATATTAAACTATTACATATTTAAAGGTTTATAAGTGAGTGTGAGTGAGTTAAAAAAAGAATTTATTGTAATTGCTTTCTTATTAAGAAATCTCAATTGCTTAAATATTCCAGAAAATACTTTAAAAAACATCAATTGCTTTTAAAATTAAATAGCGTATTAATATCCTTATTAAATTTCGAAAATTTACTATGAATTTTCGAATTATTTAACTTCGAATATGGCGCGATTTCTAAATAAAAATTCTATGATTTAGAAATTAATTTTACAAGTGGATTTTAATACAGGAAGCATGCGTGATCTTATCAGTTAGTCTCATAGATAAAACACATTGACTCATTGAACGTGAAATAAGGGGAGCATCGAGTCATTGGCACACATTTTTACCTATAAAAAGCACTCAAGTGTAATACTTACTTTTCTAACATATGTCGTATAATTATAAGTACAATTGCCAGAGGTATAGGATAAAGAAGATGTGTGTGATCATTTAAAACTACGGGTTTATCAGGCCCTGGAGCCAAATCATCCCAAGTAGTATTCGGCGGCAGCCAAATATCTTCGTCCCAAAATTTATCTAATAAGTATCGCAACATTGTCATTTAATAATTTTAAGCACTGTTGTGTTTACACTGTATTGCCACTAGTTTTTACAAACAATTTAATAAAAATAAATATGAAATCGCTTCAAAAATACACCTAATCGACTGATGCAGTCGAACGAAACGTCAAACTGATTGAGCGACAGTAGAGATTTCACATTTACAGTTTACAGTTTTTTCAGTTGAGTTCTAAGAATACCAACATGAAAATATGTGGTTATTTGCAATACACTGCGTGTTTTAGTAAAGACGGAGATTTCAAAAAATCCATTTTATATCTGTTCCTATTTTTTGAGGGTATTGCTTTTATAGTTTGGTTGAGTTTTTTTCATCATTAGACCAAACCTTTGTGGCATTAAATGAGTAATTTCGATCTCGTTAATTTATGGAGAAATCGATTTAAATTGGAAAGTCAAAGTGCCCCTCACTCGACTGACTTTGACATTAAATTAAGAAGTGACAGTGACGTTTGACGTTAGTATCTCAATATTTCATTTTCAAAATATCTGCGTTCTGTGTATAAGTATCGTGGATATTTTCTTAGCAGTAAACACAGCAACACAAGTCAAATTTTATGACAATTTATTGAGATAATGTTATTCTGCCCAACGTGCGCCAATATTCTTATTGTAGAAGAGCGGCCTGAGAGTGGTTTACGTTACGCATGTAACACGTGCCCTTATGTATATGATATTAAAAAAAAAGTGTCTTATCGGACATTCCCTAAATTGAAGGTAAATTAAGAGTTCAAATATATTCTCATATTCTATCGTCATCCATATTAAAAAAAATCATTGATTACAACACAAACATTACTCATTTTTACTTTTATTAATTTTTTTAATTTAATTTCTAGGAACTTGATTATATTATGGGCGGAGCTGCCGCTTGGGAGAACGTGGATTCTACTGACGCAGTTTGCCCTAAGTGTGGACATGGTAGAGCATACTTCATGCAGCTCCAGACTCGTTCCGCTGATGAACCCATGACCACATTCTACCGTTGCTGTAACCACGAATGTGCACACAACTGGCGTGATTAAACTCCCAATTTGTTTAAAAACTGTTCACTGAGCATGATTTGTTCGAAAAGACTAAAGTTTATTAGTAGTTTCTTGTGTAGACCTAAAACTGTGTCAGTGAAAATGAAGATTGATAAAATGGCGGAGGTTATAAAATGTTCGGAAGAAAAGGCTTATGCAAAAGCTGCACAATTCCTAGAAGATGGTCATGTGATCGCTGTACCAACTGATACCATTTATGGGTTAGCATGTAGCGCTAACTGTCCACAGGCAATCAAAAAGTTATATGCAATAAAGGGTAGAGATTCTGCAAAGCCTGTCGCTATTTGCGTAACTTACATTGAAGATGTACGAAAATGGGGCAACGCAGAGCACTTGTCTGATGATTTACTACACACTCTACTTCCCGGACCAGTTACAGTGGTTCTTGAAAAAACGAGACATCTCGATAATCCATTCTTGAACCCAAAAACAATTAAAATTGGTATAAGAATACCACAAAATTTGTTCATAAATAAAGTAACCAAAATATTTGACAAACCTATTGCCTTGACCAGTGCCAACTTTAGCAATGAGCCGTCTACATTGTCTGTTAAAGAATTTGAACATTTATATGGTCATTTAGGAGCCGTCTTTGATGGTGGAGTGTTAAGTGAAGGTTTAGAACGGAATAGAACAGGCTCCACTGTTGTTGATTTGTCTAACATAGGCACATATACAATTATAAGGAAAGGTATTTCATATGATAAAATTGTTACAGTTTTAGAAGACAATGGATTACGCAGTATTGAATAGCTTATTTATTTTATCTACAATAAAGATATTGTTAGTTTATGTTACAAATTTTACTATGCCCCTTAAACTTTAAGTAACTTGTTCATCGTTTCGTATGTATAAATGGAAAAAGCTATTACAACTCCAAGTAATGCTAAAACAATAGAAAAAAAACCAGGTTTGAAATGTTTTTTTATATTTCTTATTTACAATGATATTTATTTACTATGTCACACCACATATAAATTAAATAAATAGTTGCAATAACCCGCTTGATCAAAAAAGCTGATAAGAAAATGAATAGCTGTCTTTATCATGTTAAAGTAAACTAAGAAATAATCAAAAACTGAGATTTATATACTTAAACTAAGAGGTTTTCTAGATTCAGGCAGTTTGTTTTCCAGTTTTTGCCATCTCTCAGGTGGCCATACAATGTAAACAGCTTTTGCAGTGATCAGTCCGAGAGAAACGGGTCCAAAAGTGTTGCTGTCCAGTGTGTGGCCTGTGTGATCACCTTCTACCCAGCAGTGCCCTTCCGGAACTTTAACGTATCGGTTTTTGTAACCCATTGTACTGACAACATCTCCTTGAAGTCCTACCACACGTTTGATTATCTTCTGCTTTGGATTTTTGGGAGAAGTTAGGGATATTACATCACCTCGTTCGATTTTGTAGTCTCTAATGGCCCATCGTGATAGAAAAACGTAATCAGTATTAGTGGATTCTGGATTTAATGCCGGCTGCATAGAAATACCTTCAACTTTTGCAACATATCCAACGGTATCTAAAAATGTTACACCGATGGGAATACCGAACAGAATTGATCTACAAACACTTTTGAACGACATTAAAATAACTATAATTTTAAAGTCACACTATTTTAGCTTCATACTCGACATTCGAGTTTGTTTGTTACTTTCTTATTTTAGTCATACTGTACAGTTTTGTTCTAAACTTGCTCTTCTTTTCCTTCTTTTGGATCTTTTGGATGGTAATGACACTGACAGTTGATACATCAAACAGAAATCGCTACATGTCAAATAAAATTGTAACGGTTACATTGATCCTTGGTCCGCAAAATATTTCATATCACATTCAGTTAAACGTTAAAGCCGAAATTTTTTCTGAAATAAAAATCTTTAATATACAACAAAATTAAGGAAATCTTCAACTTTGCCCCTATTATCTACCTTTACGCTGGGTAGGTAAATAAGACTTTTTTAACCTACATAAAAATTTGACGTTTAACGTGATTTTCATTGAAAAAACCGAATGAGAAGTCGAGAACTACAGAATCGAAAATGCAGGACTAGGATGAGGTAAAAGCAAGGACAAACTGAAAAATTGTAATACTATTTAAGTTCTGAAATTAAAAAAAAGTTTATAAAATTTATTGTAGCCATATTTTTTCATGATATATGCAAATGAGTCCCAAAAACTGGCAAATCATAATAGGAATTTTGATTTCTTCTATATGTATTAAATGAATAAAAACCTCGTGATAAAACAACATGTACATTTTTAGATATGTAAAATCGTTCTGACTTAAATCGATAAACCGATTCTCGTCATTTAACGTATAGTGAGGACGTCACTTAAATTTCCCAATGAATGACCATAGATTGTAGAAACTCAGATTGGATCTTTGCTTTATTACAAATACTCAAAAAGTGTTGATGCTTTCTGTAGTAAATCACAACCACCACCAACCAAACAGAAATTAAAGACATTTTTTATGTGTGTAGCAAGTACAATATAACATAAAATTAAGTCAATAAACAGTACTTTCAATCAGTTTGGACCCGAAAAACAATGTAGAAAGGATTGACGACAGATGGAAGTGTCCCGTGGTGAAGAAAAACTTACAACCTGCATAATCAGCTGTCAGTGAGCTAGATCATCTGTCTTTGTAAATATAAAACCTAAAATAATCATAACAATTCTCGCGTGATGAAGTGAACAAGCACGGTACGATGTAACCCCGACGTTGCTTCAGCCGAACTTTGATGTAGACGCAGATATGGGATAATAACCTATCAAAGAAGCGAGACGTTCGCTATGGCTGATCTTCCTTGAAGACCTTCAAGCCAAATTTCTCCATCACAACATCATTAAACATCAAAATATGTCCGGTGAGTTTCCGTTTACGGCCAAGATAGTCAGTCCAGTCAAGTGCAATGAGAAGCCTTGGGATCTATGGGTTAGTGAAATAGGACACTTGTCGCCGCGTCGTGACGATGACAGTGGGGTGTTCACGACGCCCGCGGCCGTGGAGCCAAAGGGCGGTGCATCGGTCCGCCGGGTGCACGAATCGCACCCGTACAAGGCGGCGGAGCGGGGCCAAGCGCGGTATCGTCGCGCTGGCGTCAACCGCCTCAAATACCAGAGTATGAGCCTACATGGACTCTTCCCACAGATGGACAATTTGAATGCGGCCGTGTGTCATATGTGTGGTGTTGTAGTGAAGTGCAGTGCTGCGTATAGACATTTGCTGGAGTACCATACGGACTGCGAGCCTATCCTTCCCCCGCCGCCGCCTGCGCCCACAGTCAAGCTCAAATCTACACCCAGCAGGAGCAGGCACAAAAAGGACATACCTCCACCTTTGATACCTCCTGACTTTCTCCCAAAGATGGAAACATCTCCAGCACACAATGCAACCGCTCCTCTGTCTAGGGTAGTGCTGCCACAGCCTGAAATGCAATACTTGGATGAACCAAGCACATCTACAGGAGTAACGGGGGAAGTACAGGTGAGCATGGAGAGCGGAGGATTACCAGTTGTTAGTATACAGGACCCGGATGAATTGCCTCTCGGGGAAAATATTACAGATGATATATTAGCAATAATGAATTCTGAAGGGATTCAAAGTGCAGATGACCTAACAAATGCTGCAGATTGGAAAGATATTATAAGAGACATCGGTAGCATGCAGGATATGAACTTTCAGTCCACTGACTCTCAGCAATCTCAAGACTTATATACATCAGTAGATGCCAACTCTCTTTACACTTTAGCAGATACAGATTTATCTAGTTTACAATTTGCATCAAACACACCTCCAATGCTATCATCTGTGATAGATACTAATGTTATCAATGCTCAAGCTTTAAAAGTGCCGGTGCCCAGCACACCTACAACAAAGTCACAGTCACGATCAAAAAATAGCAAGTCGAAATTTGTGCCACGAGAATACGATCCGAATAAACACTGCGGTGTCGTCACTGCGGAGAACCCTAAGCCGTGCACGAGGTCTTTAACGTGCAAAGCTCATGCGCTGTCGCTGCGGCGGACCGTGGAAGGGAGGTCGAAACCCTTTGATACCCTTCTAGCGGAACATAGAGCGTCAAAAGACCCCAACTCCGCCGCAGCGGCCGCCACGCCTGTCAAACATCATGTACCAGTGCATACAACACCCACACAATTCAACAACCCACCTCCCCTTGATCTCAATGATTTAAACGGTCTCGCTGCCGACCTGCAAGTCAACGACATTTATGCTAGTCTGCTAAGTGTTGAAGACCCGAATGCCCTACTGCCAGATACATCCAACATAACATCATTGCTCAGCCAACCTCTGCCGCCGGGGGCGTTTCTTCTACCCGATGACGCGGAGCTCGCCACCGACGTCCCTATACTCAGTATAGCAACGCCGGTCGAGCCCGAAGTAAGGCCGGAGTGTCCGCCGCCGTTGGTACCCAGCGACGTGTGCTGGTATTCCTCGTGTCCGCGGCCCCTCGCCCTCTGCACCTTCAACGCGTCGCACGCGGGTGGCGCCATCACCTTAGGAAAAAAATTCGCCACCGTGCGGAGTAATATTAAATCCTCGCTCAGCAGGACGAGCAAGTCCAGTGGCGCCTCGAACAATTATTATTATCAAAACGCGCTTTCCTTGTCAAAGACTATGCACTTGAACAATACGAATAAAGCTAACAAGCCGGAGGTGCGTAAACTCATAGTGACGTGTAGTGCAACAAGTGGGGGTAAAGACGTGCAACAGACGTTCAGTGATATGTTTGGGGGTAGCGAGGTGCGGCACACGCTCAACGGGCATGTGGGCCACGCGGAGCGCAGGCCCCGGCCAGGCGCGCTGAAGGCGGGCAAGCGGCCGGCGCCCGCAGTGCTGGACTTAGGCTTTGCTCTGGACCCGCTCCTAGCTGACGAGAAGTGTTAAACTGCCGTATAAGCAATCACCGGTTGTGTACTCATATATTTGTATATTTATTTTTCTGTAAAGAATCGAATTGCATTGTAAATGTTAAATAATCACGAATTTTCCCCGATGGAATTAAATGTTATCATAATGTTATATCTCATTTTTTTGTGGAGAAATGAATTAATGAAATGTTTGTATTATTTTGTATATTATTTATAAGAACTTTTTAAAATGGTTCTCCGCTGAGTGCGGCAACACAAGCAAATAAGAAATAAATAGTTCAGGATGGTTGTATTTTTGGAGATGTAACTGTTAATCACTGTTGATACTGAAGTACTGCAAGAAGGCCTAGGTTTAATGTTTAATGTGATGAAAATTTCCATGTAAAAATATAAATAGTATATAATAAGTCTATCCCTAATAGTAAATCGCCTCCTTTTGAAAATAAAGGCAAATACCTCAATAACTAAATGAAATTTTTACATTAATTTTGTTTCTTTGATCATCTCTTGCAGAAATCTTTAGGCAAGGTGATTATGTAGTTTATTTTAGCAATAATATTGAAAGAAATTATAGCAAATTTAACTTTTATTCAAGAAAATAGCAAGAGCAGGTACATAATGATATAAAACATCATATATTATTTGGAAGATGCTCACTTTCATACATAAAATATGGCACCAGAGTTATGAGGCACATGATATGAAATTTACAATCTATACAAATCTTATACTATATATATATATATATATATATAGTAGGTATATATATATATATATATATATATAGTAGGTATATATATATAATGGGAATCTCGGAATCGGCTCCAACGATTTTCATAAAATTTTGTATATAGGGGGTTTCGGGGGCGATAAATCGATCTAGCTAGGAATCATTTTTAGAAAATGTTATTTTATTCGTGTTTTATCGATAAATCAATTTAAACATAAACTTAACTTTTTCTATCGGTAAGATCGAAAAATATTATTCATATTTCATCATTTTATTAGTAATTCGTACTTAAATATAATTTCCAAAAAAACACAATTTAAAAAAAAATACCGAGCAAATCTCGTCATCCAGATTTTTAATTAATAAAATCGGTTTGTCTGTATACCAAAAAAACAAAACAAATTTTACATTAAACATTTTACACTTTATGTTACATAGTCGATTACAAAAAATATTTTTTTTTTCTGCACCGATTTGGACGGGATTTTGACTGAAAGGTAACTAATGGACGTGGGAATATTATAAGCTGTTTTTAATCCTACGCTGACAAAGTCGCGGGCAACCGTTAGTTTAAAATTTATCAATCAAAACGACATGTACAAATATTTTGCGCGAACAACGTCTGTGTAAAAACTGTTTATTCAATTCAAAATTGATATTACGATTTCATTTATAAGTGAATTCTGAGCCAATTCGATCATATGAAATAAACATTTTATAAATCAATTATTCATATAAAACTGCTATTTACGTCCTCTTTATTTATGTCTTCGTTATCACAAAGTTTACAACGTACATCCTCAACTCAAGAACTGCGCATATATTGCAAATGATAGGAGATAAACTCTTTTTATAGAAAGTAATTATCACTCAGACGAGTGTTATGTGATTTGTTTTTCACAATGAAAACAAACAGACTATGTTTTAAACAGATCCATATATTCTCATCATACTAAATCTACACTAAGTGGTGCCCTCAGTGCAGCGGTAAGTTTCTGAGATGTCACAGAAGTCAGAGGAAAACTACAACGAAACAATTTTGATTTTATTATAAGGAAAGTATGAGAAAGGTAAATATCTTTGTGTGCGTCTCCTCCATCAATTAAAGGTACAATTGCAGATATCTTCGGGCAGCGGTCGCTTCGCTATTTCGGCGAAATCAGGTGGCCGCTTGCTGGTTTACCATAATACAGAAAAAAATGTTTGTATAAGGAAGATTCGTTCATTGCGACTAACAAAGTAAGTTTATTAGGACAAGCTGTAAGTTTTGTAGAGGGAGAGATGCCAAATGTTTTCTTATACAACAAAAAAATCACGTGTTTTTTAAGGACAAAGTTCATGGTGCGTGATACTGAAACTGTGCGACTTGTTTGGGAGAAACCGTTTGCATCATGCGAGAGTCAAAATTCGGGTCGCTTTTATATGATCGAGCGCTTTCACCGAATTGTAATTAGTGGACTTATACATGCGAATTAAACCTGTTTTGTTTCTACTGAATAAGCTAAAGTCTTAATAATAAGACATGACGATAAATCGGATTGAATTTTCCTCCTTTAGAGAAAGATAAGAGTAGACGTTTTTGCTTCATCGAAACACTATTTTATTTGCTATAATAATCAAAATTTCGTGAAAACTTTTTGTAAATAAAATGTACTGACCATACGACGTTCTTACGGTGAAGGAAAACATCGTGATGCTACCTGCACATATCTGAGAAGAAATTCAAAGATATGACAGGGACACCGTGGTTGACTGTTGAGCTGATGATTTAAGAATACGTATTTACTCTGAGAAGTGACAAAATTAAACTTTAATAATGCCTGTCCTATGACCAGCTGAGGGCAGACAGAAGGCTGATGATGAAAAGTTGATCCAAATCATTAGAATGTTATTTGAAGTCGGGTACATAATGTATGGGAGATATGTACTGCACAATGGGTATCTTTTGGTAAAGTGAGGATTTAAAATTTGTTATTAATTGTATCCAAATTTCGATGATTAACATGAATTAGAATTCGAGTTAAGCAAAGTCACGCGTCTTAAGTATTGTTATCAAAGCAATATCTTATTTCGTTGTTAAACATCTTACATGAAACATGAACTGAATGTAAAGTGAAGCGTTTGTATACTAAGCAAAATAAATGAATCATACATAGAAAATTAAATCGGAAATGGACTGATCTATAAACGTTTAAATAATCACAAGTGGAATAATCCTGAATATCAAACGGCTTGGCTAATATTTAAAATCTACGTATATTTTTATATACGTAGATTTTTCGTCACGACAAACTACATTGTGGAATCTGTTCCGATATTTAATTTTTAGGGACCATGTTTTTGTGGTTCGTGTCTCGTTATCTACATATTGAAAGAAATCATAATATAGACGACAGGCGAAAAGTGGAAGTCATTTCATAGTTGCTTCGTCACGTCATGAGTGTACGTGACGAAGGTTTGAATACAGTGATTTTAGAGATAGGATAGAAAAGAATGAGAAAAGACTCGACAGGAGATGGGATATACAGGAAGGGAAAATATACTCTTTCTGTACGTCCTCTGCTCTATCCATTTATCGTAGGCAGCGACAACTTGTTGAAGATGCCTACATTCAGAAATCAGGTGACCGCTTGCTCCTTCCCAACCTTGTATTATTGAAGAAATTTTGAAAAATTATATTTTACTAGTGACATCTGTGAAATGTCTTTGGAAATTAAAGATATATAATTAAAAAAGTATTTCATAGATGGCGCTAGAAGCTTCAAGATCTTTGGCGATTTAAATTAATTTGAATTTAAGGAAAAATCAGATTGAATTTCAATTAGGGAGAGAAAACTAAAGAATGAAAAATTGTAATATTTAAATATATTGAATAAAACACTTCGTTGTATCATAATGTATTCAAAAGTACTGAACAAGAATTACACATTTTAAAACTACAAATTGTTTTATATGCATTTATATGTTTTGACACAGTAACGATAATTTGAATTAAACAAAAGTAAAGAATAAAACGAAATTTATTTCAGATGCTTTTATTTTAAATAAAACCTACTTAAGGCACAGAAATAATCCTTATAAGTTTTATAATTACCGTCTCTAGCTTTGATAACGATTTTTTTAATCTTATTAATAATAGAAATAGCCAAAAATAATTAATAAACATTTATTTTATATAAATAAAATGTTTAACAATATAATAGCTTAAACATAAGCCTAGTCTATAAAGCAGAGATTTCATCATTTCCTCTTTGACTTCACTTTCAGGTTTTTCGTCTTAGATTTCACGATACCTTTGAATTGTTTAGACGTTATAGCCTTTTTCCTGAAACAAAACATATACAGGAAATATATTTTAGTCCCAAATTTTTTTCTTTATAGTTTAGTTAGTTATAGTCTGTCAAACTTATGTGACCTGATTGGAATGTAACAATAAATTTGACAGTCCACTAGCGCCCTCATATCAATGACAAAAAAGTGTCACAACATTCTTCTTATACTGTAGCTGTCATGTCATGTTTTTATGCTATTTTCTGTGTCCATGTAAGTTTAACGTATTTCATAACTTTTCATCGGGTCATATATTTTTGTTTGACTATACTCAATCAAGGATTAAATTAAAAAAGAACTGACTTAGCATATACCGGGTCAAATAGTCTTATCGGTCTATAGACAATTTTATTGCCTGTACTTCAAACTTATTTGACTTGGAAGGAGACGTTGGATCTCTGTCAGAAAACACATGAAGCATTTACCTCTTATTCAAGTTGTTCCTGGAGAGTGGGAGATATGCGTAGGGATCAGGTTTGCCCTTCTTCTTGATATCTCCCTTAGCCTTCTTACTGCGGTACTCAGTGCCCGCTGACGTCACCGACGCACCTGAACCTAGGGGCCTGGAATTACGAGAAAGTTAAATATTATTTCTATATATACAATTTGATAATAATCAAAGATTAATACTATATAAAGACATTAGTTTATATACATTTTTAATACGATGACATTTTCATTTGAAGATAAAATTGAAACTAAATTTATAAAGACCACCTAAACTAAGTAAAACTAAAAGATCAGAAATTTTTACAAATAAATATAAGTGTCATCAATTTTTATTAAGTATTATTAAATTTGGATTAAATAAATAAGTTACTAAGTTACCAAAACTAAGTTATCGGCTGCACTGTTTTTATCTAGAGTCAAGTACCTGTGTATTCCTTTCCCACCAGCTTTGTATTTAGAGGCAGTGGAAGCCTTGCTCCTGATGCTGCGCCCGCTCTTGATGCTCAGGATGTCGTCGTAGCGTCGCTTGTTGCCGGGCTTCAGTAACTTTGATGGCTTGTCATCCGCCTCGTTGTCTTTCAAAAAGTTAATTTACATTTTATATTTATATATATACTAGCTGTCGCCCGCGACTCCGTCCGCGCGGGATTAAAAATAGATGTTGTCCGATTTTCAGACCTAGTCAATATGCTTACATAATTTCATGAGAATCGGTCAAGCCGTTTCGGAGCAGTATATGAACGAATATTGTGACACGCGAATTTTATACATAAGATATATATATTTACTTAGTATCAAGAGTAAAGAATTATTTTAGTCTAGATAAAAAAAAGTTGATTACAGTTCATGAATAATGCAACCCAGAATTTTAATAAAAACGACACAGTCTTTTATGAACACATAGCTCTTACCCACGACTCCGTCCGCGCGGAATAAAATCAAGAAACACTACTGTCTATTAGTAGTCCTATATCTGTCTCCTGGTTCAAAGCTATCTGCCCACCAATTTTCAGGCAAATCGGTTCAACTTTTCTTGAGTTATAAATAGTTTAACTAACACATTCTTTTGTATATTTATGATAAAAAACAGGTCTTTCTCTACACATTAGTTATATCTACCTGTATCATCAGTATCAGTATCGATGTCTCCACTGGGCCTGGGTTCCTCTTCATCATCAGACACATCATCGGAGATGATCAGTCTGCCATCGGCCGCTGTCTTAAAACCACCGGCTTTCTTCTTCTGCGCCTTCTCTTCTATCACCTTCTTCTTTGTTGGATCCGTTGCTGGAAACAGAAATAAAAAAATAAGAAAAGGGTGATGGCCGCTATCGAAAATGACGTTTGTATGGAACTAGCTGTCGTCCGCGACTTCGTCTGCGCGCATTTACAAGAACTTAGTAGCCTATGTGTTCTTTCATTCTATGGTCTATATCTATGACAAATATGAGTGAGATCCATGCAACCATTCTGCAGATTCAAGCAAACTCAAATCCATCCATTTAAACATTTGCATTTATAATATTAGTAAGAATGTACCTGTTATCTTCCTAGCGGCAGAGACATCAGCGAGATCCACAATCTCCTCCACATCGTCCTGGATCCAGGCTTTATTAGTCCGTTTAGCTTTCTTAGGTTTAGTCTCCTCGTCTAAGTATTCCATTTCAGAGTCTGAGTCTTTGAGGATGTCTTCCAATGTCTGTGAGGTGCCTTTAACAGCCATATCACCGTCTGAATCTGAATCTGTTTGGCTGCTGTAATAACAAAAGTATAGGTTAAGTCAAATATATATAACCTAGAGATACCTTATATAAAGCAGAAAAGTAAGAAAAAAGGACCCGGAGACCTTCCCGGAGTTCATTTCCTTAGTGTTACATAGAATAAAAAAATTACAAATTGATTCTCTAGATGTCAAACTTGTATAAAATACTCCCTTTATAGATAATACAGGATGTAGTTAATGTTTAAAAAATAAAATAAAAATAGGTTATATTAAAATAACTTACCGTTTTTGTTCTTTAACTCTCTTCTTTCTATTCTCTAATTTCCTGACGTTCCTCAATCGCTTGAGCATGACTTCATCTTCAGGTGGTACCAGCTTCTCTATAGTATCAGCTCCGTACTTCCTCGTCATCCTGGCGAGGAAGTAGCCCACCTCCAGGCGAGCGTGGCGCTTGCAGTCCTCAGACATCTTGGACAATGTTCTGAAGATGAGCGGCAGACTGCCAGCTAACACTTCAGTTGGCAATACTTTTGTGTACACCTGAAACATACAAATATACATTTCATATTTATATAACTATTAGTTGTCGCCCGCGACTCCGTCTGTGCGGAATTAAAAAAAAAATTCATTAGTAAATGTGTTCTTCTAGACTGTGTTATCCATCCATACATTTGCATTTATAATATTAGTAAAATTTGCTTATTAAAAAACTAAAAAAACTAGACTATAACACTCCAATGAAAAAAACGAATACATTGAAACCTCACTCATCAAACTGGGTTCTTTCGTTTAGACTTTGGACCGACAAATGAATTTCCATACATACAATTTCCATACATACAAACAAACATACGAGCCAAAAATATTATCATACACCAGTATAAAGAATTATGACAAAAAAGTACTCACTTTAAGAAAACTCATAGCACCGGCCACCACCTCTCTGTTGTTCTCCAGCATCTTGTGTGCGACAGTATCCAACAGAGTCTGCACCGTCTCCAGACCCATGTCCTCGGAGAAGGTGAACAGAGCTGAGGCGAGTGCCCGCAGTGTGGCGCACACCACACGAGGTACTGGTGCTGATAACCCTGATGATAACATCTCCAGGAACGATTTCATTCCTGGAATTGAAATGATATAATGATAATCATTTTAATACAAATATGTAAGATTTCTTTTATCAAAAAACATTCAAATTGAAGATTATTTAGTAAAGAGACTTAATATTTTTGAAATAAAAAAAAATTATATTTTATTTGATGTGGTTCAACTGGAACGTTATAGATACAATTTTTTATTAATATTATTAACAGGAAAAAATTGTATTTTTGTATCTAACTGATAAACTCAAAAACTACTGGACAAATTAAAAAAAAATCTAACATCATACCTACATTAACACAGTCACATAGGCTATATCTATTATATTACTAGATTTTTTGTATTTCACACCTTTTTACGAAACATCTGTCAAGAAACCATATTAAATACTTTCACACTACGAGAAATCTGCCCTAATGGTTCACTTAGAGTAGACTTATCTTAGTTCGGTGTAGTTTAAAGCTTAATTTTAACTTGATGTTAACCGTGAAAAAAAAACTTAATTAGTAGCCGGCAACCATTCAACTTTTTCTCAACTTTTAAACCTTCCCTAGAACTTCACGAACATTTCAATAGCAAGATAAATTCGTTCATCCATTCTCGAGTTATAACGAGACTAACGAACAGCAATTGATTTTTATATATATAGATAATAATTTATTTACCTCCATCCTGTGTCTTCAGCAAGTTGCCAACAGTATTAATAACATTGAAAGCACATTGTCTGCATTTAGAGTTGATGTCTTTTGTGCAGACAACACTCTCCGCTACAGCACTCTTTATCAACTTACTCTCGCTGTTCAAAAAGTGACTGCTGTTGATTAGATGCTCTATACACCTAGAAATACAGACCATTTTATTATATATCTTACTAATAATATATGTGAGTAGATGGATGTTTGTTCAAAGATATCTCCGGAACGGCTCAAAAGATCTTGATGAAGTTTATCTTAGACGTAGAACATAGTCTGGAAGAACATATAGGCTACTTATTAAGTTTTATCTTAATACCGCGCGGAAGGAATCGCGGGTGACAGCTAATAAATAGAAAATATCGTTAAATCAGAGGTTTTAGGAAAAATAAAAAAAAAAATTAAAGTTAGGATTTAAAAATATGACTAAAAGAAAAATATAAATTCATATTTATAGATGAACTAGCTGTCGCTCACGACTCCGTCCGCTCGGAATTGAAATAAAACTTAATTAGTAGCGTATGCGTTCTTCCAGATTAAGTTCTACATCTATGACACATTTCATCGGGATTCATGCAGCCGTTTTGGAGATACATTCTAACAAACATCCATCCATCCAAACCTTTGATTATATTATATTTGTACCTCAATCTGGCAGCTTTACTGCTATCAGCGACTTTATTCAAAGAATTCATTAGCATTTTCTTAATTTTTTTATAATTATCTTTAACAAACTGTTGACAAGAATCTTTCCCGCTTTTGAATATCTCTTCTAATATTCTATAAGCTTTTTTATGTTCCATTTCTATTAATTTAACTTTTTCCTTATATTTCAACGGTTTAGTTTCTCCGTCTTCTTCCATTTTATCTTTCTTTGCCTTTTTGTATTTCTTTGGATCATTTATAACAGTCTCGCACAACGGAAATACCCATTTATCAAATAATACAGCAATTTCTTTGTGAGTTTGATACAAAATTAATAATCGAATAATATCCAAGATGGATTCCCTTTGGAAGTGATTGTCTATGGAAGCTTCCAGTTGTGTTATTGCGTTCTTGTACAATTCCTCTCTGACATTCTGATCTGTTATTGTTAAATATATCTGAAAATAATATAAAAAGTTAAACAAATATAACAAATTATATAAAAAAAATCAAAATTTGGAATACATTTTTAAGATGGACATGAACAATAATATAATAAACTAAACTTTTATAATATTAACAAATTAGTATTAACTATTAGATTATTTTATACTAGCTGTCGCCCGCGTCTTCGTCCGCGCGGAATTAAAAAAAAGCTATTGGTCGCAGCGTAGTGTTATATATCCTAAAGCCTTCCTCTACAAATGGACTATCCATCAAAAAAAAAAAAATTCAAATCGGAGCAGTAGTTCCAGAGATTAGCACGTTTAAACAAACAAACAAACTCTTCCGCTTTATTAGTATTGATTCATTGTAAATATAGTCGAACCAGGATAAACGAGAGCCCAAGACAATTTTTCTCGCTTATAGAGGTTTCTCTTTAACCAGAGTTTCTTTCTTATGGAAGTCAAGCATCAAGCAGCAAGTCTGGACATTGATTCTAGCTCATAGAGGTTTCCTGCTTATCCAAATTCGACCATAGTGTAATATATTTCGAAATCTTAAGAAACTTTCTTATTTTTTTTAATCTAGTAATTTCAGCTTAAAAATCGATTTTTTTAAATATTTTAATTTGGAATAGGTTATTCATACCTGTATAGTCTCCAACGCTGCCAACCTTTGTCCTTCCCCTTCTCCACCTTTAGCGGGAGTCATATAAATATTCAATAATATAGGCAAATAGTTTTTAGCAAATCTGCCCAATTCCTTCTGATCTTCATCATCGTTAGAACAAGTAATTAATTTCCTTAAAGCTTGCATCACAGATAAACGAAATTCCGGATTATCTTTTAAAACATTGCCTAATACTCGAGCTATAGTTTTAAAATTATCTTTTATATCTTTAGGGTTGTTACAAAAACTAGGCAATAAAGACCAAAATTGGTTGCACAATAATTCGTATGTATGCGCTTTTGCGTTATCATTATTTTGTGCATATTCACGGGATTTTTTTCTACAAAATGTTGCCATATCTAAAATTTCTGTAGCGAAATATTTTAAATTGGAATTTATTATTTTCTCTCTGAGCACAGGTAAGAGCCAACTTCTATCTAAGTTTATGTCTGTTCCGTCTCTGAGAGGGATGTAAGTTAGGACGAATTCTGGTCCTAGAGCTTTGACGGCACACCCAGTGGCATATTCTACTTCTTTGTGATGGTTGAAATTGTGACTTTCCTTTCTTTCGTTAAGTTTCATCAGTAATGGTCCAAGTATGTAGGTTAATTTGTTATTACCTATCTGGAAATGTTAATTTTTGATTTTAAAAAAAGAAAAAAAATGGTACTCAAAGTTAAAGACTATACATATATTTCTCCTAAAAGTCAATAGATGGCGTTGTAATAAATCAACTTAAGTTGTTAAACAATCGTGTTTTATGATTAATTTCCACAGTTCTAACACTTTGAGAGCGTCAGTGGCTTCGGGGTTAAGCAATTGACTTATCTACAGGTCCTGAGTTCGAATGCCATCATATACCAATGTGTTTTTTACATATGTACATTTATCCGCCTTTCTTATAGTGAAGGAAAACATTGTGATGCAACTTGCACATATATGGAAAGAAATTTAAAGATTGTGAAGTCAATCCGCAGTGGGGCAACGTGGTTGGCAATGGCCTAGTCACCTCTAGCCTAAGGTGGGCTCCGAGCCCATCGGTGGGGACGTATGGTGAGCTGATGATGATGATTCTAACACACATGTAATGTACTAATACAGTTAGTGAAAACAGTTAATTTAGTTCATAATTGATCTGACGTCATCACTATGGTCTCATGTTACGCAGTCGCATAGTACTCACCTCGAAGCAGACAGCTAATGTCATTATGACATGTTTCAACGCCTGATTGAATGGATTGTCCAGTCCAGTGCCAATTGTTTTGAATATATTATCTATATGGGATTTATGTTTTATAAAACATTCCTCAGTCTCCAGTGCGGGTTTCACGCAGTCAAAAAGTAACGCCTGGAAAAAATATTAGCGTATAACTCCACTGCACTGACTTATATAAGGATAAATGAAAAGTAGCCTATAATATGACCGCATAAATCAGCTACCTTTCAGTCAAAGTCTCGTCTAATTTAGTCCAGCCGTTCCGGAGATTACCCGGAACAAAAGCAAGGCTTGCGGACAGACTTACAAAAATTAAAAAATCAATATTACATGCAGACACTCCGGTTTTATTACTTTTTATTTATTGTCGTTGACAAAACAGAGAAGTGTGACGTCATGTGTCCCAGCAATTTACTATATTTAAGGTTCTTTCCCAATCAAGATTAAAAGAATAATGCTGTTTCTCTCTAATCAAATAACTATGACAAAGACAGATACATTAATATGCTGTCTCTCTCTAATAGAATGTGTGTGACAGAGAGAGATGCATACCTTTAGAGCGTTGGTGGCGGCGGCGTTGATGTCGGTGACGTCAGAGTGCCACAGCTCAGTGACGCACACGGTCACGAATGCGGGCAAGTTCGGCACACACAAGTTCAAATCCAACCTATGTACAGATTCATATAAAATTAAACGTTTTTTTTTACTCTGTGGTATAAAGCGAGCAGGGAAATAGATGCCGCGCCATGAAAAATATAAAACTAGTTGTCGCCCGCGACACCGACCGCGCGAAATTAAAAAAATCTTAATTAGTAGCCTATGCAATCATCCAGACTAAGTTCTACATCTATGTCAAATTTCAAAGATAGATATTAACAAGATAAGAATTAATTTTTCACATCTAAATAAATTAGTCACAAATTGACAAAAATAAGCTACCTTAAAACGTTACCTTCAGTAGGTTGTAATAAGCTTAAGTTAAATTGACTAATGTTAGATAATATTCTACAGACCTAGCAAGACAGCACAATGCCTGCTGTACAACAGCAGCCCAGGCGAGGCTCTGTCCGGTGTCATTGGCAGGCGGGCGCGCGGCCAGCAGCGCGCGGCTGAGCTGTGCCGCCAGCACACCGCTCAGGTTGCCCCCCGCTAAGAACAGCGCGTGCAGCGTGTGCATACAACATGTCTTTATGTAGATGTTATTGTGAGCCATCAAAGACAGAATTGATTCACAGGTTGTCTGAAATGCAAAGGAAATTAAATTTACACAATCGTCAAGAAGTTTGTTACAAAGTTAGAAATAAACATTTTTCCATTTTTAAATCAGTATTTATGCGTTTTAACGTAAAAAATATGGTGCCATATTCAAAATATAACCTAAAAACTCTTGGTAATCACTCAAATTAGAAAAAACAATCAATATCCTTAACTAAATGCATAAAAAATTGAAGAAATATTTATGTTTACCTTAATATAATCTTTACTGAATACAGGTAAGACATCTCTAAGCATGGTCAGTATGTGCAGCACAGGACGGTGTCCGGAGAGCAGGGCCTCCGGCTTTATCTGTGACAGACAGTACTCTGCCACGCGGTTTGATGCCGGGTGCAGCTTCGGAACCTGGATTTAAGATGAATAAAAATTACAATGTTACTTTTTATCTCAAGAAAATACAGATTCCATAGGATGTTACATTTTTTTCATAAACTAAATAACTCCATCACACAATGCATATATATTTTTTCATAATTTAATTACAAACAAACAGCTAGTTATTTTCATAAATATATTTTACCTTGACTTTATCATCTTCTGTAGGTAACATAAAACAACTGCCGCGTAAAATGGCTGTTATAGCATGTTGTGCCGACTTTCGCACCTGGTAAAAGACAAAAGGGAAAATTGACATATTATCTTTTTTTTATTTTTGTTAACAAAACAAATAGACAAATTACGCAAAGATTAAAAACACAGATGATATAACAAAACAAATGTCTTGTAATAAAATTCAATAGAAATTGTACATTTTAATATAAAATCAACCAAACTTTTTGTCAAAAAGGATATACTCCTTTATGAGCCAAAGTGTCCAATTGCATAACCAAAAATATTTGTACAAGTGTGCATGTTAGTAATATTATAAATGAATATTTGGATGGATGGATGGATGTTTCTCTCTGATGGAGGTATCTCCAGAACAGATGAACAGATTTGTATGAAATTTGGCATACATATAGAACATAGTCTGTACACATAGATGGAGTAGAAGGCAACAATATTATTATAAAATACAACACTAACCTTAGGTTTAGAATGTAGTACAAAGGCAAGCACTGAATCAAACACTTTCATAGTTGACGAATCTCCCCATGCCGCATACTCTTGTGCTCGCAACAAAACAGACAGACATCCGATAATACTACGTAGTAATGTACCATTTTCACTCTGTGCATTTTTCTCCAGTAGTTCTATGAATATTGTTGCAGAGTCCGAGAATTGCTTCCTAAGTACCGCTTGTGATACAGATTTTATACCCATTGATAATAAAGATAGGGTTGCTACAAGACTGGTGTCATCTTCTGATGCTTTGAGGGTCTGCATCTGTAATATAATATATTGGGTGAAAAAGATTATATCAACCAATACATTTATTTGGTGTAGGTTCAAACCTAGATAGGTATAAGGCCTCATAGATATGAGGCCTTATAAAACTTATATTTCAGTGTTAATATACAATGTACGTAAACAGTATATAATTTCTCTCTCTTTTTGCTTATAATTTTACCAATATTTACATGTATGTGTGTTAAAGAAAAACAAATTTTATTAATTAGTATTCTAAAATGTAAAGTACCAATGCAGCAAAGTATTCAGTGGATGTCTCCTTGCCTCCTTGTTCTTTGATGACCTCGGTGACCGCAGCCAATACAGCCAGCATGTCTTTGTGGATTGCATTGTTAGAATCAAACCTATTTAACAATCTGTAAAGAAGAATATCATATCAAGGTATCATTATGTATCAAAATGCCATTTTTCTAAAGAAATGTTTTATGTGGTCATATGTGACATTGAAACATATTGACTTCATGATTGTTCTGAGCATTACATAGCGTGGGCACTTACTTGCTGAAGCTAACATTTGAACATTGACTCCAGTCAGATGCAAACGTCTGGAATGTCCTAAATGTACCAGATCTCATAGACCCTGTGTACTCTGTCTCTGTACCCTCATCACCACTCCTCATTGACATGGATTCAAAGTCTTTTGCTATAGCTAGCTCATTCTCTGATTCGGATTTCTGTTTGCCTGTACTGTGTCCGTATGTCATCATAGCATCGTGTTTTAGTACCGCCTGTTGAGTCAATCCAGTGCTTCCTAAGTACAAAATATTTTAGTGTTAATGCAATAATTAATTCTTCAAAAGTCAAGCTCAAAATAAAGAGGTAATTTAATAAGATATCTTTCGAAATCATTGAATTAACCATACCAAGATTTTCTTGGAAGAACCGGGATTTAGCCATTTCTCTGTATTTTTGTATCTTCGGATTTGAATTTGATGACTGTCCTTTTTGCCATCTTTTACCCTTACTTTTTCCTTTCAGTTTAGATCTAAATTTCCCCATTTTAGAGAATTAGTTGATATTATTTTAAAACTTTAGCACGTGTTTCCCTATTTTGCTTTAAGTTTTTATGAAAATAACATTGACAGTGACAGTTGACGGTTCCTGCCAATTTGCCAGTCTACCGACAGCTGTCAAAAGCTAAGTATGGATGATACAAAAAAGTAATTCATCGCGCATCAAATAGCATTTATTGTTGAAATACTTGCGATTAAATGTTCAATTCTTAGCAAATACGAATAGGTTAACTTCTAGTTATTAGTGTCAACGTTTTCTTTGATCCATATTTATACTTCTCTAATGTCATAGGACAAAAACGGTAAATTCAGATTGACATTTGTATTTTATATAATCTGTGTCGCAAATATTTTTTACAAAACGTATAACGAAACGTAATTGGTTTTTCTGACTAATTTTTCTTCATTCACCTCGCATTCTTGTTTCATTGACGTTCCTTTTGTTTGTAAATATTATCGGCTGGAAATAGTACGCAATGTGAAATTACACGCATTCCTCGACGGTCTGTTCGTTACGTAAACGTTAGATGTACCATACAACTGGAAACTATGTTTGAACATTTGTCATAACCTAGTGCTTGTGTTTTGTAAAATTTCTTTTGAATGTGCAATTATGTGAAAGAATAATGCCGCCTTTTAGAAGAAAGAAGGCTGCCAAGTCTTTTCCCGTAAAAGTGTGTACTTTGGATGCCGAGTTAGAATTTAACCTTGAGGTGAGATTTGATGTAAAGGCGCGAATTATTCCCTTAGTGTTTACTGTTGTAATTTCGAAAAGTTAACACAAATTAGCGCGTGAGGCGGCTATGAGTCACGGATTGACCCGGAGGTCAGAGTTCGTATTGTTTGTTGTTCTACAGGACCTTATCTATTAGACATCAGTAGTGGTGTGCAGAATGTTTTGATAACAACTTCCGTTTTACTACAAAAAAACTAGTGCTTAATAAGATAACGACATAACTTGTGGTCTTTATTGATAATTTTGCATTGTTGACAAATAATTAACAATATACATTAGTGTTAACACATTGGTCAGGTTGTATATTTAAGGTTTTTAATTTCTTCTAAATTATTATATATGCATACATCTAAACAATTTATATCATAAGTTTGTGTGTTTTCCATCCTGGTGTTATTAATTTATCATAATTACTTGGTCCTTGTCCAAATAAACAAAGGGCTTTGTTTTTAGTGTCTTAGTTGTTTTTAAACTTAGGCAGAATAAATATTACCTGTGGATTACCTCTGCAGTTCTTTAGCCTAAGAAATAGAAGTGTATTGTTACAGTGGAGAGCAACAGGCCGGGACCTGTTTGACCTGGTGTGCAGGACAATAGGGCTCCGTGAGACATGGTTCTTTGGACTGCAATTTGAGGATACAAAGCACTTTATAAGTTGGCTTAAATTGGACAAACGAGGTGAGTGCTGACTCCATACATGATATTTTTAAAATTAACTGACAATACAAAACTTATTAAAAATCATGGCTTCATACAAATTTATTAAATTCCGGGATAAAAACAAAAGTATTAAGTAACCTACATCCTATTTTAGAAAGTTATTTTAGCTAACTAACATCCATACATCGATAATCTTTATAATATTAGTTACATAAATTAATTTATAATTAAATATTTCACAGTACAAGACCAATGTGTATCACAAATGCCGGGTACACCTTTCATGTTGCTATGCAAGCTGTACCCGGAAGACGTAGCGGAGGAACTGATCCAGGAGGTGACGCAGCATCTGCTCTTCCTGCAAGTGAAACAGGCAATACTTAGCATGGATATATACTGCCCACCGGAAGCATCGGTACTACTGGCCAGTTACGCTGTGCAAGCTAAGGTAAAAAACTTATGATTTTCTTACTTTTATGTTAATGAAGTAGAAATATTTGGTTCAATGATTTCGTTACATTATTGATAGAAAATAAAGTCTTGTTTCAATTCTATGCTGACATTATGTAAACAGATTATAATACTGTTTCTAACAAACGGGACTAACCTGTTTGACAAACAAAACACAAACAGACAATGTTTAATTTTCATACATAGTTGACAAATAACTTTTTCTGTTAGAAATATCTAGTAATATACATTGGTTTTGGTTTAAATCAAAGTACATATATAGTATGTTGTGTTTACAGTATGGAGACTATGATGAAAGTGCATCCAAGCCGGGCATGCTGGCTAGCGAGGATTTACTGCCGCAGCGCGTTATTGACCAGTATCAAATGACACCGGAGATGTGGGAGGATCGCATTAAGATATGGTAAATAGACAGTTCTTTATATATTGGTTGTTTTACTATAAAAAATATCATTACCAGGAAAGACTTGATTATAAAAAGTCTAGAAAACAAAAAAAAACAGAAAAAACCAGTTTTTTCATGAATTTTTCGATTAAGGAAACCAATTGGTTTGATTTTAAAAAGAAAAATAAAAGCTTTGTGTTATTTTTTAGGTATGCCGATCACAAAGGTATGTCAAGGGATGAAGCAGAGATGGAGTATTTGAAGATAGCTCAAGATCTGGATATGTATGGAGTTAATTATTTTGCTATTAATGTGAGTACATTAATATTATAAATACAAATGTATAGATAGATGTTGGTTCAAACTTGATTAAATTTGTCACAGATATAGAACTGGACTGTTGTGACAGTTGAACCTGGATAAGTGAGAACCCTCTATAAGCAAGAGTCATTATATTGTTTTGATGGATGACCTCTATAAGCGAGAAAAATGTTATGGTCCCTTGGAGTTGTCTATGTTTGACTGTATGTCTCTATTTTATTTTAGAGAATGTCAGGGATATATGTAATATTGTGTTAAATTTTTCAGAATAAAAAGGAAACTGATCTGTACCTAGGCGTGACAGCTTTAGGACTTAACATCTACGAGAAGGATAACAAGCTGACACCAAAGACAACATTCCCCTGGTCCGAGATCAAACATATATCGTTTGATGATAAGAAATTCGTCATCAAATTTGTTGATAAAAGTGTTACTAATTTTATATTCTTCTCACCAAAGGGTATGAATAAACTGGTACGTACAATTTTATCTAGTAGAATGTTGTCAATTCATTTCATCATCATCAACTCACTATAACTCTCAACCGAGGGGCTCGGAGCCTACCCTAAGTTAAGGATTAGGCCATAGTCAACCACGCTGGCTAAGTGCAGGTTGACTTCACACATTTCATTGAATTTCTTCTCAGATATGTGCAAGTTGCATTACGATGTTTTCCTTCACCGTAAGAATGTCGGATACATATATTAAAAATTTAACATAGGATAAGCCCCTTAGTGAGGACATATAGTGAGTTGATGATGAATTAAAAGAAACTTTTTTAAGTTTTACAAAAAATATCCTATATTTTTGCTTATATTATCCCGATGACTACCTAAGGTTTCTTTGATCATCAATAAATTTTCTAAATTCTACTTCAAACAAAAATCAAGACTATATTTGTATTTTATATATTATAACATTCCAGATTCTAGATCTGTGTATAGGCAATCACGATCTGTACATGAGACGCCGCAAGCCTGACACTATGGAGGTGCAGCAGATGAAGGCTCAGGCCAAGGAGGAGAAACAGGTAACCAATATATTCTGATTCTACCTGACTGGCGACTACATCCACAATTATAGTTGCATTTACCTTTAATTGACGGAGGAGGGGACGCACAAAAGGAGAACATTTCCCCTTCTCTGTCTAATCCCCATGTTTTCCTCATAAGCAGAGGATGGGAAGGCAAAAGGTTTTTGTTTGTAAAATGAGTTGTAATGTTGTGTACAGCGTCGTCAGATCGAGCGCAACAAGCTGGCGCGTGAGAAGCAGCTGCGTGAGGCGGCGGAGCGCGACCGCAGCGCCATGGAGCAGCGCCTGCTGCAGTACCAGGAGGAGATACGACTCGCCAACGACGCACTCGTCAGTCACACGCACAGACACACGCACAGACACACGCTCTGCTGCGATTATTACTTATATTATATATGCTAAAGTTTACATGGATGTTTGTTTGAACATATCTCCGGAATGGTTGCATGGATCTTGAGGAAATTTGAAAGAAATGTAGAATATAATCTGGAAGAACATACAGGCTACTAATTAAGTTCTTTTTTTTAATTTCGCGCGGACGGAATCGCAGGCGAAAGCTAGTTATATCGCCGCGATATAAGCGAATTTCTGATGGATTTGTGTATTTGTCGATGTTAGATTTTTATGTGAGTTTTTGGTGTCCAGCGGCGGTCAGAGGAGACAGCGGAGCTGCTGGCGGAGAAGGGTCGCGTGGCGGAGGAGGAGGCCTCGCTGCTGGCGCAGAAGGCGGCAGACGTGGAGCGCGAGAACGCACGCCTCAGACTGTCCAATATCAAGACTGAGGAGGAGAAGGTTATTTACCACACTTTGTCTATGTATTATTAATATAAAATGAAACAAAATTGCTTTGGTCCTTCAAGTCGGATAATAACTTAAAGTAACAGTAATCTCACTTAAGTGTTTGCCTATCTTTTTTTTCATTTCAAAGCCTAAATTAAATGATTTGAGGCACGTCTAATTCTATACAGTCATTATAATATTTTTTGTAATATCAGAAGTTAGTATTTCTACTTAACTATAGTACTGATTATTTTTAGTAACATCTTCCATGTTGACAATGTCCATTGCTATGTTCCAGGTACACCTGGAGCGGAAGACACGCGAGGCGGAGTTCCTGACGGCGAGGCTGGTGGAGGAGTCAGAGAAGCGCGCGGCGGAGGCGGCACGTCTGCGCGGCGAGCTGGCGGCAGCGCGCCTCGCTGAGAAGACCGCCAAGGAGAAGCTCATCAACTTCCTCACCACATCGTCCACCTCGTCGACAGCATCGCTACCGCCCGGCACCAAGGTATAGAGAACCAAACGTATGGTCAGTATGACCATAAGGTGAATAGCGGTTCTTACACAGTTTAGGTTAACTAAACTAGATCGATTTTGTTATTAATTGCTACTCAGGGTTATTAAATATTGATCTAGCGTTCTTTATGGTCATTTAACGATTCATTATGACAATTATAAGTCAAATAATATTCAAATATTCATGTCCTTTTTTGAATTAAAAATAATAGTTACAATTCTTGATTAAAGCATCAATTAAAATTCATATTAACGTATTTTTTCTTTTTTTATTGTGATCTTCGTTTTTTTTACCATGTCACCCCCATAACAAACTATTTAGAAAATTATTACAACAAGTACATAAGAGAATAAAAAAATAATACAAATCATTAACAGAAATATATTAATGTATTGTTTTTTGTCAGTGTTCAACAGTACCATCGAGTTTGTTCCCGTCGACGTGTTCGTTGCCTGCCGAGCTGGGCGATGGGCGGGGCGAGGTGGAAGTGGCGTGCGCGGGGGGCGTCACTCTGCACAACGGCGCCCCCGAGACTGACCTCAACTCCTACCAGCTGGTGCCTGACGACTCCGACCCGCATATACATCGGCTGTCGCTGGAGATTGAGAAGGAGAGGTAACAGTCATCAAAAAACTCTGTCTGTTGACAAACCTTCACGAACAAGAGTCTAAGAGACTAATATTTTTCTCGCTTAACCTATTTTGAATGTGTTCTTTAATTATACTTGAACATATTAATTAGTGTGTGGTCCTGTTTGTTTCCGTATTTTAACATATTTTATGTGTGTAGGAAGTGTACATGCTGCTACATACTTTTGGTCCTTCGGGTCGGACTAAATAATATAATGCATCTATATACAAATATGTAAATGCATGTAACTGATATACTTGAAACATGTAATCGTGTTGTAGAGTGGAATACTTGGCGAAGTCGCAGCACCTGCAGCGTCAGCTGGAGTCGCTGCGGTGCGAGTTCTCAGTGCTGCGCGTGGAGGGGGCGGAGCGCGCGGCGGAGACGTGCGCGGTGGTGGGCGGGGCGGGGGGCGTGGACAAGTACGCGACGCTGCGCCGCCTGCGCCAGGGCTCCGCCAACACACGCGTAGCATTCTATGAACAGCTTTGAACTCACACCAGGTAAACTCATTATTCACTGAAATTAATCTTGTACTATTGTTTTTATTAGTAGTACTTTTTATTAACCTTTTTTTTGTTTAAATGTAACTGATTTAAGCAAAAAAAAATTGAATCATTAGTTGGTAAAGGTTGTTCAATAAATTTTCTACTCTTTCATACAAATTTATTCAAATTATATTCAGTTAAATCTCAAGGATCAAGACAAAAGAAATAATTATGAGGACGTTGTAATTGTCCGTTTCATCGGAGTTATTTTTTTTTAATTAGTCAAGTGATTTATTTTTTAAAAATAATGAAATTATTTTTTTATATTATTTGTGTAGAGTCGAATTTGGGTAATATTCTCGCTTATAGAGTGGACTATTACTCAAGTTTCTCGCTTGTGGAGATTTCTCAGTTTTCCAGGTTCGACTGTATATGATAGAATATGTTTTGAAGCAATACTTTTGTAATATTCCAGGTATGGTGTAGTCTAGGAGCAAGTATTCCACAATTAGTATAAATAATGTGCCTTATTTATATAAAATAAGTAGATTTGTACAGTTGTTTGTGTACGGACAAGTTGTCAATATTTTGTTATGATATATTTATGTATTAAGTGACAGTAATTTCATTTTAAATATTTCTCAATACCTAAAGTATTTAGTTAAGAAAAATCAATAGTGAAATTAATAAACCGATTTAACAGAATGTAAATTTTATTTGAAATTGTCTTTGGCTCTCACTCAGTTGTCTTTGGTTTGGAGATTAAAATAATATGGCATAATAAAATCTATATATTTTTAACTAAATAATAAATATTGTTGTTATTTAAAATCTTTGAAGCTCCTAAACAAAAAAAATTGCCTTATTTTTTAATATATCAATTTCGATGTTTTTTAAAAACAGAGTAAGCATTAGTTCTACAAATAAATGCACAAAATCTTTATATATATAATTCTTCTGTGAGTGTGTATGTCACTGAACTTCTCTCAAACGACTGGACCGATTTTGATGAATTTTTTTGTGTGTGTTCAAGGGGATCTGGGAATGGTTTAGATTCACAATTTTCATCAAATATTAACTTCATATTAATTTATTCAAATTAAAGACGTGTAGACAGGACAACGTCTGTCGGGTCCGCTTGTTATATATATAATTGTAAACTATTGTATTTTTAATATACAACGATATTAAATAACTTTATTGCTATATTAAAAAAACAAAAATTGTGATAGCAATTTTTATGAATTTCATTTAAGTTAAGTTTACTTATAAAATGTGTAAAATGTCATACATCTTATATTGACTTTACTAAAAGAAACTTGCCTGAATATTTACATTATGTATTTTACATAATACTACATAATGACAATAAATGTGTTCCTAAACAATAAAGATTATATAAAATAATAAATAAGTAACTTGTATGTAAAATTACACATATAGTTTTATTTTTCTACAAAATGTAAAAGATATTGTATATGGTCCTTCGAGTCGGATAATATAATGAAGAAACGAAATTATTATATTTCTAAAGAATTCTATAAATAAATAATATTCAAATGTTTAGCCTCAGTTTTTATATTAATTTTAGTTTTTTTTTTTACTTTTTAGGGTTCCGTACCTCATAGGAAGAAAACGGAACCCTTATCGGATCACTTTGGCGTCCGTCCGTCTGACAAGACACTTTTTCTCTAAAACGCGTGAAGTTATAAAGCTGGAATTTATTTTTTTCTGTTGATCTCTTAGCAATGGGACATCTCAATTATGTTTAAAATCAATATTCTCTAAACTAAATAGCAATATATTAAATTTAATAGTTTTAAAACGCTTCCAAATATAATTCTATAAATAAAATAAGCCTTTGTTATACGAACTATATTACATTATTTTTATATTTTCATATTAATATAGCGAGATATTATTTAAAGTTAAATAAAATATCCTCGTTTTATTAAGATCTGTTTGATAACTTGTTTTATATTAATTTAAATATAAACGTAGAATTTCATTGCAGTGATGTTATTTCATACGTTCTTGTTGAAATTTGCTTAAATCTGAATCCAAGTGTTTAATATTTTTCTCGATTAGTTTCTTATCGGAGTTTCTCGCTTTAATTAGTTTTCCGTCGAGATCTTACAATGATTCAAGCTTATCCAGTTCAACTGTACTAAAAACACGTCCTTAATCCAAAAGTGTCTTAAATTTTAGTACAATTTAAAAAGTACACTGTTTTGTAAATGAATAATAGATATAAAATCAGTAAAATATAAAGTCGGAAACATGTTTCTTGTAATGTTTCTGTGCCTTATTGTTATATAAATCGTACATATATATATGTGTCATGTCTCACCGTACATTTGTGTTATTTTCTAAAATTAGTGTCATATTTTTTTATTATTTTTTTTTACAAAATATCAGAGTGATGCACTCGTAAAATATGGTCGTGGGTTTTCATTGGACTAAATAACTTTAAAATAAAGTCTTTAGTAAATCGTTCTATGTAAATGTTTTGACAATGGAAACCCAAAGTGATTGTAATGTATCGAAACATTCTGTTTTAGTACCTTATTGATTTTTTATATTTTTTTTTTTACGTACAATGTAATAACGTTATGTTCTAGCAATAATTTTGAGAAGGAAATACAATCAACTTTTAATTATGGTTTTTTTGCAATATAAATATTGTCATTTCATCCTTGGTGACAAACAAAATGAAAGATATAAACCAATTCATATAATTCCCTTATAACGTATCATTAAAATGAACTCTGTAGCAATTTAAACGTTTTTTTTATGACCATTGGGTCTATTACGAATATTTGTGACAATGATCATCGTATCGCCATCGATAAAATTTGTACAGCGCCCCTTATCGGGCGTAAATTACACCAAATATCGAAGGCGTACACAAATATTCGTACTACATACGTTAAATTGTCTCGATCGATTTTAAGGTCTCATATAATTTGTATTTTCCTAAGACCTAGAGTCTAGAGACATAAATAATGTGTAAACGGCTAAAACACCTATGTCCTGACGATGTCAGCACCGACTAGTTTCGAGCAAAACGGGGGCCCTCTCGTGGCGCGCAGTGAGCTAGAGGTCGCGTCCGCGAAATAATACCATTCCCACTCACCCTGATGACCTCGAAACTAGTCGGTGCCTACACCGTTTATAAGTTGATTGTATTTACTTTAATAATACATGATGTGATTGTAAATGTGATGGTGAGGTGAGGAGCTGCAGCCGCGTGCCTTATCCAACAATATTTTGTTTATACATTTTGTAAATATATTTATAATGAAAGTCATTTTTTGTTTGATTTCATCCTGACCGTAACTCCGATGTGACTTGTATAGACCGAGTCAAAATATGATAGCGAACTATTGACCTAACTGATAATGTAAAAAAAGTATAGTTTAAAATAAAAACAATTTCTAACATACTTCACTTTATTTAAAAATATATACACCATATTCTTTAACAATAAAACTATATATAGATATAAATTAAATATTTACATTTGAAGACAAAATTATTATCTTTTAAATAAATTATATCAACGAAACATATAAACTATTAATAATTTTTAATTTTCACATGTTGGATACATTATCCATTGTTACAGAACATTTCTATTTCTTCTAATAATTCAGTTTAACTTATTTTCTGTTTGGAAATTTACTCAAAGCAATAAAATATAATAGTTAAAATTAGATCTACAATTTACAACATATATTCAGAGTTAAGAATAATTCGATTCTTTTATTTACGTAATGAAAATAAATATTATATAAAATCATTATGTATTTTCTTAAATTGTTTATACAGGTTGTCCTAAAAGGTTACGTACATAGGAATGGGGATGATAGGAGTGGTCACAAGGGTCACCAGAAAAATTAAATAAAAATTCCCCTCTGGGTATTAAAAAAATAAATGGCATTTTTTGAAAACTTAAAAATTTTACACCTTCTGGGGCAATTTTGTAACCGATGGCCTACAAATATTGCTATATTTAAAAAAAGCTATTATGTTATCGTCAATAACCCTTTATCAATATGAAATAAAAAAAAACAATACAACTAACAAAGATTTTAAAGAAAATTAAAATTGCCCCAGAAGTTGTATAATTTTTTAAGTTTTTAAAAAATGCCATTTATTTTTTTTAATAACCAGAGGGGAATTTTTATTTAATTTTTCTGGTGACCCTTGTGACCACCCCTATCATCCCCCTTCCTATGTACGTAACTTTTTGGGACACCCTATATATAAGTACATAAGATTGCCCCAAAATTACATAATCAAACTACAATGCAAAAAATATTGTTAATTTTACACTTTACTTAAGCTTAAATCATTCAATAATTTTCAAGGCAGTGATAATTTTACAACAAATCGATTACATTATCTTGAATACAATAGCTTATTTATGAATTGCATTTAACAAACATTTTAATCTGATTACGATAATACAGAGGAAACAGTCATAAGATTTTTAATGATACAAAACTTATCATCAAACTCACGTAGAGGGGTCTTTGCTTAATCTTTGTCTTTAAATCTCCTAATTAACCTTTAACCCTTGGTTTCCGAGATCAAAATCTCTGTATAAAATATCATCCCTCTTATTAACTATGACAAAACAGACATACATAAAATATTTTTAAACATTGATTTTGGTCTCTGAAAGCAACGGTAATAAAAATAAATTGACAGATCGAAATTGGACAACATATGTATCGATCAGATTAGCGTTAAAATAAACCACATTTTGCTTTATTGATCTACTTTAAAGGAATTTAAAAAAAAACGTAGATATAACTACTACAAGATTTTTGTGCGAAAACAAAAGTGACAGTACTTGAATTTAATTACAATTATTAAGGTATTCGTCCACTGGATCAGGCCTGACGCACCACACTCACGGATTTGCTTTGTATTTCGATGTGGACGGCGCGAATGATAGACGCAGCGCTATTTAAATCATTCGAAGTAAACTAAAATCCGTTGCGGGCTGTGCGTGCGATACGTCCGGCTCGTGCCAATGGACGCGTACCTTTAATAAGGGCGATTGAAATAATTTTGCAGTAGACAAACATATATAAACGCATTATCTCACTGAAAAACATCCAGTCACTTATCTTTAAAAAAAATTTACATATTAATATAAATGATAAATTGGTAATGTATATAATGAAATTAAACGTAACATATACTATGATGATTGTAATATTAATTGCATATATACAAATTTCACAAATAATAACACATAACCAGCTGTGTTACATAAAGACATACAATTTTGGTTGCCGTTTGTGACAGAACATAAAAAAAAATTTCTTGAGACATATTACTGTAGTTTTTTACATGAAATTGAAAATAATATAATTTTTACAGCTTTATATAAATATATCAGACTAAAAATAACATAACACTCTTCATATGAAAAAAAAATTGACTTCAATCTTAATAATTAAAAATTGTGTTCATGGAAAATTTTTACAACTATATGTTGAGATGAAAGAATGAATATACAAGCTTTAACTGTGAGTTTCTGAAACCAAAATCTTCGTATAAAACTTACTAGCTGTCGCCTGTGACGCCATCTGCGCGGAATAAAAAAACTTAATAAGTAGCGTGTGTTCTTCCAGACTTACAATTATGCCAAATATCAGAGATATCCATTGAGTCGTTCTGGAGATATCTTCAAACAAACATCCATCCATTCATCTAAACATTCGCATTTATAATATTAGTATAAAAGTATGATTGTCATTCCTGTCATTGTTGAATATAAAATGAAACATTCTGCCAAAAATGTGGCATACTGGCCAGAACCTTAGCCTTTTTTGTAATAAAAAAAAATAGATGAGACAGAGAATCGCGCGGGAAGTTACCAACGAGATGTAGTCCCGAATAGTGCTCGAGAAAATTATCATGTAAATGTACGTAGCTTAAAGTCGATGTGTAATAACGAAAATAAACATTTAATTTAACATTATCTTTGACAAAACAGATAAAAAATTGTTTTAATTAGGTGATTTTGGTCTCAGAAACTGACAGTAAATCAGACAATACTGATAGTTGGGAACTCACTAATGCTTCTATATCTTTTAAACTAAAAATAGCATCTTGTATATACTACAAAATAATATTCAGTCACAAGCACTAAAAATTATAAAGCTCTTTATAAAGGTAATTAAGCTTTATTGTAAAGTCTTTTGTAACTCAATGTGTTGTCACAAAACTCATTCATTATTATTCTACATAGGAACAAATGAAACATTACGATTAACACTATTATTGAAATCCAGAATAACGGATTTAATCCACCCAAGCTGTGGCCATGTTTATGCAATGCTATCACATGGTGTTCGTGAGCTGGTGCTTCAACTACCTCTCTAACGTGTATAGCATGCCTTAAATCCTCCATATGCTGCTTATCAGCTGTTATATACAATATAGCTGTCAATGGTTCAGTGAGCTTCACTGGGAAGTACTTTTTATATGGACCTAGTTGCACTGGAGAGTCAAGACAACCCGCATCACAAGCATAGTATGTTCTATCTGAACGATCTAAGGCCACAAAGATGGCAGCCTTGTTATCTTCTTGCAGTATCACGCTAATGTTTACATGTGTCATATTTCCGTAATTAACACGTCGGAATAAAAAGTCTCTATGCAGTTTCGATGGATGTATGTTGTATTCCAAGTGTTGATTACTAAATCTCAAGCTACCAAAGCTCAGTATCATAGCTTGGTTCACACCGCTAGCTCCCGCTTTCAGCAAATTGTGACAGCCCTGTTTCTCCAATGTCAATAACCAAATACTTGCAACAGTGTTTAAGTTTGACAAACTGTTTAACGGTTTCCACAAATTAGGGGCATCTAAAGTTGTATAACCTTCATAGCAACCCTCCGAGTAAGTAAGTGACCGTAATATATCTGATCTTGTTGTTGCTTTTATGTTTTCCTCATGTTCGTAACTTCTGACTTGTGAGAGAATTGCATATATAGTAGCATTGATACGGTCTCCATTCATAATACCGTGTGCTTTTGATTCGGAGATATAAAATCCCGTGTACCACAAGCCCTGCCACACTCGGGTATGACTCTCTTTTAAACTCTTCACAGAGGTTCTATCTCCTGTTAGAGCGATTACTTTCTCCATTTCTTCAATAGCCTTTTTCTCTACAATGTCTTTATGTTTAGCATAATCTGCCTCTTTTATCGGCTTGCTGTACTGAACTGTGGTTAATAACAAAATATCAGTACTGTCTCTTGCATCCACTTGGATGGTATTACCATATTTTCTGCAAACAACCGAAACAGCAAGAACCTTCTCACTATCAGGTATTGCCACCATGCCTGTGACAACCTCATACTCTTTTGTATCAACTCCTTGATGTAGCTTAATAACCTGTTTAACTGCAGTTGGCCAGTGTGATATTCTGGGAGTCAACAATTGTAATGTTTTGCCAGCATTTGTTGGATTATTAATAAGAATCTCTTGAACAAGTAGAGAGGGTATGGTTCGGTGTGCATAGTACTGGAATGATATTTGTAATCCAGAGTTGCCACATTGAAATCTATGGACAATACCTTTTTTGTAATCAACAAGAGTGACCTCCTTCATGTCGTAATCGCTTACAATGTACAGCGGGTGATAAAACACCGGCAGTGACAATGTCCTGCCATGTTTTATGTTCAAATGGGCATCATGTTCGAGGACTATCCCCAGGAACCCATTACCGACATAAGGAATGTAGTTATGTGGTGAAGAAGTTAATGTTGCAGCGGTCTCCTGTCTCATATACGCGTCGTAGTCTCTAAGCGCGTCTTCAAAAGGACTTATAAAGTTCCTTTGACATAAGATTTGATTACTGACTGCAGAGCTTTCAGACTCAAAGAGCCAGTTCATCAACGTTGGTCCGACGTAGAGAATTAAAAATATAACAACCAGAATTAATATTACCAATTTTTTTCTAGTCATTGGTCCGTCGGTAATTCTGTTTACACGTCTTATGAATTCTCCGGCGCGGCGACTCATTTCGTTAGTACTGTTCGATGGCCTTTCCATTACACAAAATTGCTACTCACAAGAACTACACACAATAAGCAAATACTGCACTCAAGTGAGGCCAATAATTGTCATTTTAAATACTTTAAAATAAAATATAATTCATTTATTTATTTCGACGTTATCACAATTTACAAGTCAAGTGATATCACTTAACTCGCACAGATAAAAAAAATGCTCCGGTACGCGCATAAAATAAATGAACAAGTGTGACATTTGTAAAAAAAAAATTATAAAAATTATAGTGAACAATAAAAACATCGATTTCCTAAATTCCAGCTAAAAAGACATAAAATATTGTACGGTCGCTGTATTACGTCTGCTCTAACCGAAATTGATCATTGGAAATACAATTATGCTCCATGCAGGATTTTTCCCTTTTATTTTTTTATATCATAAGGTGGCAAACAAGCGAGCACCCTGGCACCCACCCACCTGAAATCGCTGAAATAGTGAAGTGACCGTTGCCCATAGATATACGCAATTGCATATGCGTAGAATACCTTTTATTTTCGTCGACGTTCAAACAGATTCAGTAACATAGTGTATTCAAAATTTAAATCAAATCAATAGTTAAGCCAGCCGGTGATAAAGGGGAGAAAAGAAGTAAAAATGTAAAAAAACAATGCAAAGGAATTGTTAATTATTTTATTATTCCAAAGGAAATGATGTGTGAATAGGGATTCGTAGTAGTTAACATATCTATTTTTTTCATTGTTTTGCTTGTTTAGAACTCTTGAATCGAATACTGTTATTAAAAAGTGGATTTATTTTATATTGATAATGAAATGCCAAATACAATCTAATATATTTATTTAACCAAAGTGTATATTCAACTAATACAGAATTATCACAACATTCGTATAATATTTCACATTCAAAAAGCACCAATACTTTGTATAAATTTTCATAATGTGTAAATAATCATAATAAATTTTATAATATTTTTCTTAAAAACTTTCGATCAAATTAAAAATATTGGAGATTCTTTTTGAAATACTTGTGTACATGTTAATGTCAATTTTATATATATTTTTTATACTTACACATATTAAAAATTTATTTTATGTTGCAAATAATATCCCTAATAAGCGAAGTACAATTTCATGTTACTAAAATGTACTTGTAATTTTTCTTTGTTATTTCTCTTTTTAAAATTGAATGTGACAAAAACCTGTATGTATTTTTGTAACGAATAATGTTGCTAATATTTAAGTTATTTTAACATCAAATTAAACTCATACTAAAAATAATATAATTAAGATAAGTAGAAAATGTGTAAAAATGCGTTAAGGAATGTAGATATGAAATTTTATTAAATTGAAAATTAATACATTCAAAAAATAATTACCAATTATGTAAATAAATAAATCTAATACTGTGTTATAATTGAAGAGATCGATTTTTTTCTCAAAAATATAGAAAAATATATTCAAGTTAAAATAGTTATATAAAAATATATAACCTTTTTAGAATAATTAGTAGTTTAGTTTTAATATATTGAATAAATGCGTGTATCCGAATGTGCGTAATGTCAAAGACAAAAGTAAAGCTTAAATAAGTATTTCTAGTTACACACTAAATTAAACGTACTATTTTGAACGTTAAAATTGCACATGATAATATAAGTAGTTTTATATATCACTTAATAATAAACATGGACAGATAAAGTTCTAAAATAAATGGCGGCAAAATAAGCAATATTTTTGACAGGGAATATCTCATAAGTAGAATTGACGTTTAAAAACTGTTTAATATAATAAATATTTAATTTATATTTCAATATAGAATATTTACGTATATTACTTTAATAAAATTTAAAAAAAATCATTTAGTTTTTTTTAATATCATTAGCAAACCCTGTAAAGAGCAAAATTCAATTATTTTACATCCATATATTTGAACAAAACGCTTTTTAATTATTATAATATTCATTTAAAGTAAAACTGTTTCTTAAAATTGGTAGAAAATTATCTTTTTTTGTTTGAAAATTATAGATTAAGTAGACTTTCTTCCAATATATATGAAAAAAATGTTATTGCGTTTTGCAGTGTTGCAAATGCTGTGAGCTCTGTGCGTGTACAAATGTAAGGTGAACAGAGGTCAGTGTTTAGTGGTCGTGTTGGTCGACAGGCTTCCATTCTCTGTCGGAGCGGAGCAGAACTATTTCGTCTTCGGAGTCTGTCTCCGACGGCGGTATATCATCGTCATCGTAGTACGGCTTTTGTAACAGATCTGTGGAAACAAATTAATATAGTTTCTATAGGAGAAATTTCTGTACAAAAATGTTAATAATTAGTATAACGTGTGTTTTGATCCATGCAGCCGGTTAACCTTCCAAAATTTCTTTATAATATTAGTAAGAAGTAAGAGTTTTTAGATGAAAATTGTTTTTGATGTTGAAAATATGAATATGTACCATAAGATGCGTCTGCGCAGAGCGGCTGCTTGTCATCAGGCGGCAGCTGAGAGAAGAGATAATTGCGTCGCGAGTCGCGCGCTCTCTGCCGGCAACCGAAGCACCACGCCGCCGCCATCACCAACACCACGCCTAACGCACCTATACATAAAAAAATACTAGTTTTAAACTTTTAAAAACATTAATATAATAATAACAAGCCGATAAACTTTTATATTCTAACTTATTTATTTATAATCTGTGTAATTGCCTTCTGTTTATACTTTCTTAGGTCAGAATGTGTTTGCATTAGGATGTACTTAATTATGTCCAATCCAGAACATTTTTTGGTCCTTCGAGTCGGATGTGAACCAGCTACTTATTGAATTAGGTATACTAACCGGCGACCATGACAAATACTAGTCTAGGTAGACCCAACACGGTGTCGTCTCTTTCTAACTTGAATAGCACGTTGGGGGTCACTTTGCTGTCACTGTTTATCTGAAATGAGAAAGTAATATGTAATTTTTCTAATAGGTAAGTGGTGTTAGCGTCAAGAGTAGGATGACATCTATTTTTTTATACATCATTCTAGCGATTTTTGATTTATTAGTTAATTAGGAACTATCTTAAAGATACCTTTAATATTTTGAGTGAAATTCAACGAAAGTAAAGTGTTTTTGTATATCTGTGGTATATTTAGTGCAGTCATTCTTTCTCTAGTTACAAAAATACATTCATCGACTTATTTCAATTGACAGCGGTAAAGTAGAAAAAAAAAGAAAAGTGGTTTTTTTTAGAATTAACAACAACGCCATCTATTATCACTCACCATTACATGTCTAGAACTAGTTATATATCCATCCGCAGCTACAGACAGCATCACTTCTTTGCCAGTGTATGTTACAGGTAATGCTAGGAGGAAACGGCCTGCGATGTCGCTGGCGTTGCTTAGCAACGGCTGTAGTGACGTCAGCGGGTACAGCGACACGCGAGCGCCCACTAGCGGTGTACTGCTGAAGTCTAGTGCTAGACCTGAAAGACAGACAAATTTGAAACAGTATTAAAGACTGGAATTTATATATAGAAGTGTCATTTGTTGTACATGACTGTAATTTTACTAATATTAAAATAATGTTTGGATGTATGGATGTTTGTTACCAGGTATCTCCAGAACGGCTGCATAGGTTTTGCTGTAATTTGGCATAGATGTCGAATATAGTCTAGAAGAAGACATAGACTCCTAATTTCATTGATAAATTTTTTAATACAGTGAAATAAAAAAAATTAAGATGTAGTGCGCCTTACAATAGATGGCGTTGTAAAAAATTTTAGGTTACAAATTAATCCGTATTCTTTTAGGTTATTTAAACTTTTAAATGTATCTATAAATATTAGAATCGAACCTGTGATGTAGATGATATTGGGGTCATCACCCAGCGGCAGCTCATCAACGGTAGCTACAGGTAGATGCTCCGCGTTCAGGCGTCGGAGAACAATGTCTTTTTGTTTGACAATGCCTTCTATGACACGCCATGTTAATTGCTGTGTACCAAACGATTACGTATTACAATAGTATTGCTATCCCTTTCATTCTCTTGGAAAAAATGAGAAATTTTATAAAAGACAAGAATTTCCAAGACACAGAATTAGAGTTTACTTTGTTAAATTTAAAATATTTGCTTTAATAAGCACACAATAGATGGCGCTATCCAGTAGCAATTGCAGATACGTTGCCTACGTTTAATCGACGGAGAAGGGGACGCACAGGAAGATAATATTCCTCTTCCTATGCGTCCCTTCATTCATCAAATTCACTATGGAAGAGAAAGGGAACTAAAATAAGTCTTCTGGCAAGCACATTTATCAGACTGTACTTGGACAGTCTTCCACTTGATGCTCGTGTTCTGTGAGGTCGGGGTATCGGACTTGGCTAGACCTATTCTTTCAACAGATGTCGTTGCGAGCTCTACCTCTATTAAAAAGATAGTGAGTACCTGATCGTGGTAGCCATGACAGCGAACAATAACGCGGTAGTCACCAGCGGGTAGTAACGCGCGGTAGTGCGCCCTGTTGGGAGTGACGCGGTACTGTCTCGCCACACCGGTCACCGCTAGCGACGCCTCCCGCATCGGTAGTCCATCCTCGTTCTTTATATAGCCTTTCACACCTGATGGAAAGAGATAGATGATTATACTAAAGAAAACAATACGAATTAAAGGACAAAACTTAATTTAAAAACCCACAAAATCTAACCCGATGGAAATATGACAAAATAAATTATGACGGCTCACTAGCGCCACTATGTTAATGTCAAAAAAGTGTCAAGAACCTTTTTGTTCTTAATCTATCAAAGAAATGTTTTTCTTTTCTATGTGTATATGTAGGTTTTACACAACTACCCTCGCCTTTGTCATATAAAATGCATTTTATAGTTCCAGAGATATCACATTCAAATTTTAAACAAATCTGACCTGTATTAGCGACTTCGACAAGCTTCATAATCCCGCGCAGGTTGTCCCTCCACACCCATCCGATGACATCTGGTGATGGCATCTTACAGCAACTCAATCCCAATGACATTATCGGTGTGTTATACCTTTCACATACCAAATCTATAAAGTTGCCGTGACGTATATGATCGTTTCTCTCACTACATTCATAACGATCACTCGGACTTCTATTATCTTGGAATTTTTTCGCAAACTTTTCATATATTACTCTGGATAAATCAGGATAAGCTACATCTTCAGTACCAGATGATAACTCTATTATTAAATCGTATTTTTCTTTATCTAATAAATGTACGAATGATTTTTCTCTTGTATAATTTGATAGTGGATTTAAATTCTTTTTCGTAAGATAATTGTACACGCTGTCTCCAAACTCTTCTTCTAAAGCTTCAATATCACATTTATCTGTATTATCGTAATGTTTTAATATATTTTTGTATAACGGATCTATGTTTGGAATAAAATGTAAAACTGTATTTTTAAGTAATTTCTGATGTATCGGCTCTCCGATAGTATATGCAGTAGATATATGACGAGCAAAGTTGACAAGCAGCTCTTGTCCTAAACCCTGCGATGCGTATAGATTACTTATCATTGCGATGTGGAATTTAGTCTCCTCTGGTGATCCCACCTGGAAATAAAGGAAAATTATATCGCAAATTAGCAGTTGTTAGTTTTAGACACTATTAGTTAGAGTCTTTGACGCGAATGACGTGCTTTCGTTACAAAGTCAAGTGTCAGAATGAATAGTGAGGGGACATAAACGTCGACATTTTAATAAGACTAGTGTTGCGCCACACCGGCACAGTGTCGGATTTTCTTCCTAAAAATGGCGACGAACTAAAAAAAATCTAGTAAAAAATATAGCTTGTGTAACTGGGTATAGTGTAGCTTTTTTATAGATAATTTATAAAATCGGTTGACTAGTTATCAAGTCTATTAAATATCGAAATGGTACTGCTGTGCAATAGCAATACTGTAATATTTCTGTTCTGTGTCACTACCCTCGTGTGAAACAGACCTGGTCAGTAAGTTTGAGTGTATGGAAGACAGCAGTACTGAGCGCATCTCCAGCTTTGAACTCTGCGACGTCCGGGAACCTGTTCTCCAGGTCGGCGAGGGCCGCGTACGTCTCCACGCCGCTGTGGTACTGCGTGTTTACTATGTTCTCCAGTACACTATAACATATACATAAACATATATAAAAGGAGACATAATGTCTTGCTTACATTAAGCCAGTACAGTAGCGCTAAAAATCAACGCTGGCATACCACTGGCATAATGTAAACACTAACTTACACCAGTGATCCTATACAGTTCATGCAAGGACAGTGCTACTGTCCTACCGTACTGCTATAATGAAAACAAAGAAATAGAGAATTTTTTATTATCATAGGATAATAAAAAATTCATTGGCAACGAATGCTACATTTTAGTATAGACTAGATTAAAAATTTAAAAAATAATAAGAAGCCTCCAATACTTCTACTGTATCTTTAGCAAATTTAATAAAGATCCGAATTTTCATTTTTTTTTCTTTATAAGAAAAAAAATAGTTATGTAACTAGGATATTAATGCCAATAATCGAATAGTGGAATTCAAACCCACAACCAAGAGGTCATATGACCGCACACCACTACTGCGTTACACTTAACAATAAAGAATGTCAGTAGAAAGTGTTATCGTCAAGTTTAGTCTTCATAAAAAATAAATTCACGCGACAACAACGCGTGGATGGCGTGGTAACACCGCGACATATTACTGCAGAATCAAATGAGTTTACCTTTATGTTAGTAAAAAGCGGACAGTTAGAACAAAAACAACATATAATTTGTCATGCTGAGTTTATTACATAAGCGATAGACTTATAAATATATTAGTTGAGTACATACATTATATAAATATACATAGTACATAGTTATATATTTAAAAATAAACTTATTATAAAAAAGCAGTATTAAATAAAGTTCTGCAAATTTTATAAAATTAACAATTTTTAATTATAATTGTAAAATTAATTTTGTAAATTTTATTTCTAAAATAAATTTAACTAATATACCTAAAAGTAATCCAAAATATCGATATAAAAAGGACGGATATAAAAATTTTGGACGTTTGTTCATGAGTTACGAATAATTTGTGACTCTCTGTTCAATTAATTCACATAAATTATTTATTGTTTTTGTTTCATTCTTATTAATTTCTTTTTGTATTGGCAACATTCAAATTATTATAAACTTTTTTCTTATGCTGGCAACAATGGTGCATTGGACATTCGTTGGATATAAGTGTGCTAGGAGAACGCGGGCTATTTTTCTTGTTCCCACGACCACTTGTTTAATTATACACTCTTAAATATCAAAGTAGATATATTAAATCTCATATGAGTATTAAGATTAGAGATTACAGTTTTTTTTATCTTATTTTTAGAATTACAGTCACTGGTTATAAAAAAAAACATAATAAAGAAAAAATCTCTATTAAAATGTAATAACTAATAGAGAGCATAGATTAAAAAGAATAAGATGACATTTGATCTTGAGACGGACAGTGTTGCCATTGATTTTCTAAAAAAAATATATAATTTTTTTTTAAAAATCCGTCAAAATTAAAAAAACACTACTTTTTAATATGTAAATTAATTATTTTTAATATTACAAACATTTGTTATAATATAGTGTGCGTTTGCAGAACAATGTAGAAGTGAAGCGTGCGTTAGAGCAATATAGACAGTACGGTGTAGATGATAAGGTTCAGTTTGCACTCACCGGAAGTCGTAGGCGGAGGACCAGTGCTGCGGGTCGTCCACCATCAGAGTGAAGTTGAGGCTGACGGAGCCGTTCTCGGGAACTGTCACTTGCTCTGTTATACTTTCATATCTAAAATGATTGGAAAGAGATAGTAATAATATTAACGTTTGGAAAAAAAATAACCAGAGATATTTTTTATCTATGTGCAATTGGCAAACATCTTTTTTTTTTTTAATTTTAAGCTTGAATATAATTAACTTATTGTATTTTTTTATATATTACTTGAAGTAGCATGCAACTTCATCACTAAAAATTAAAAAAAATCCCTCGTGAATACTGTAGCTTCCCAACAGTGAAATAATTTTTCAAATCGGTTTAGTAGTTTCAGAGCCTATTAAATATTAACAAATCTTTCCTCTTTATAATATCAGTAAGGATTACTGTAATTTATTCGCAATAGCATAAGTTACATAAAAACTTGATAATTATGTTAAAATTCTGACCCATCTTTAGTAGCGGTGATGTTATAATTGCCGGGCAGCAGCAGTCTCCAGAAGTCTCCATGGTGGGCAGTCTTGACACCATGTTTGATGCCGGCCACAGATATGGTGGTGTTGGCCAGCGCGTGTCCGATGTGACTGTGTACAAACCCGTGCACTCCTATGTGAACCTGTTTATATACAAATTACTAAATTAATAAATATGAATATGGATGGATGTTGGTTAGAAGGTACCAGCAGAACGGCTGCATGGATCTTGATGAAATTTGCCATAGATGTAGAACATAGTCTGGAAGAACACATCAACTAATAAAGTTTTTTGAATTCCACGTAGATGGAGTCTGTACTGAATATTATTGTTTTTTTGTCAGTAGCGCCATCTATTGTCTACAAAATAACTTGTTTTAAATTTAATAAAACCAAGACTAAGGGAGTTCTGTACCTGTTCAATGAACTCCAAGAGCGCCTCCTTGTTATCCTGCCAGTATGTGGGCAGGTCCTCAGCGGGAGGGAACTTGTAGCAGCCCAGCTCCAGCGTCAGCTCCATGTCGTTGGTGTGTAGATAGTTCCAGTCCTGCATACCTCCTGATAACACGTACCTGAAAAACAATATTCAGATAACATTTGTCTGTTCATTTTAATTATGGAAAAAATTTAAGAAACGGTTTGATTGCAAAATGACCGAATATTGATTAATTTCTTTTTTTTCAAATTTTAGAATTCTAATTTCAAATTTGATGAAAAAAAAACATTTTTTTTTTCAAAAATACATGTCACTAGTACAGCCAGTATTAAAATATATTTTTAGTCTTAGATAAACTAAGTAAGAACGGACTAACTTACCATTTGGCGCCATTAACGATGCCTTCTGGAAACTTCTCGTTGGGTGAGCCCTTGCATGGCTGTCCGAGGTGCATCTTGTGATGGGCCTTTGTAACATACAAACATTACTTGAGATTGTCCTTAAATCTACTAGCATTGTATAGGTTATGAAAATTATAAGTATTTGTTTAGAAGCTTTATCTTATAAATGCGAATTTTTGGATGGATGGATTTCGCTGAAAACTAACAAAGATCTAGAACATAGTCTGGAAGAATACATAGCTTAATAAAAAGTTTTTTTTTAATTCGGTCACATAACTTCTAACAGAAATCCCTCCATACATCCAAACATTTCCATTTATAATACTAGTAAGATGTAAGAGTCTTAATTTCTTAATGACCAGGAAAAGTACATTTTTTTTAATAATTTAAATTTCCACTTACATTAGAGTAGACATGAGCTAGATGAACAAAGACAGCATTATCAGGGGTGAGGAACTCTGCTCCGCTGGTCATCTGAGGGTTGCCATCATAGGGGTAGTTGGCGACCAGCGCGCCCCCGTGCAAGTTGGCGGATAACACAAATGGTATTGATTGAGACCATTTCATTACAGCAGCAGTTTCCACTTCAGGTAAGGAGTTGTCCTGGTATTTGGAAAGAAAAAAAATTTTAAATATACCATTTTTTGGATTTTGACTTTGGCAGTTCATATTGTAATTTTATTAAATGTTTTTTTTTTTAAATCTTATGCTAGGCTAATTTTTTTTTACAATACCAGAAAAAATGTTACGGTGAACATTTGAAAATTTTCCCTCCATGTTATATAATATTTTTTTTAAATATTTCAAAACATCAGAGAACAGAGAAAAAGAAAATTTTGTAGATTACTTTATATACCTGAGTGGATCCAAACTGATCAGGGAAATTTCTGTTTAGGTCGACATCGTGTGCGTTTGATCTGCCAATTATGCTGCCGAAGTCATCTAAAAAATGATTTCAAATATCAAATATTACTATTGTTAATTATTATAAGAAATTTACTACAAAAATAGTATATATTTAATAAATGCAATTATTTTTGGTAACCACTTTTCGACAGTTAGTTGGCAACACTAGACTGTCATCCAACTGTCAAAGATTAAGTTACAAAAAATACACATAGATTATGAAGCGCCAATATCTTACGTTCTCTACTCCTCTCGTATCCATCAGGGTTCATGCTGGGCAGGAGATGTATCCTAGTGGTGTTCAACATCTTCTGGATCCTCTCATCGCCACTGGTGTACTGCTGGCACAGATATTTGGCCAACAACAACAACATTTCCCGGCCAACTACCTCGTTACCGTGCATGTTGGCCACGTATTTGAATTCAGGTTTGCCTGTTGATTACAAACATTTGTTGTAAGTACTGGGTGGACAGGAATACAAATCTTCTTTCTAATAATGGATTTCTTATATTGGGTTCATTTTTAATACAATGCGTTTTTCAAACAAGTTTCGTACAAATTATTCCTGGCACTGTCCAATCTTACTTCTTACTAATATTATAAATGCGAATGTTTGGATGGATGGATGTTTGTTTGAAGATATCTTCAAAACGGCTGAACGGATCTAGATATTAAGAATTTGCATACATATAGAACATAGTCTTAAAGAGCACAAAGGCTACTAATTATCTTTTTTTTTCCGCGCAGAGTTGCGTGCGAGCGCTAGTTAAATATAGTGGTTAAAATTGGATCTAAATTAGTCATATCGAAATGTTACGTGATAGTAGCGCCCTCACTTGACAGATATTTAAACGATTTTTATTTTTAAGCCTACTATTTATCAGTATACCTGGAATATGTGTTCCCGGGTCTCTGGTGACTTCCAGCACGTACAACTCCCTGCCCTCCACAGACTGGCCGATGCTGGTGAGGCGGGTGATGTCCGGATACTCGTCGTGCAACTTCTGCAGGAAAGCCTCCATCTTGGTGTAGTCGTGGTGCGCGAAGTCAACTGCAGAAAGTCCGTCGATGTGACGCAGGTGCCTGTTACGCGCTGCAGATTTGCCCGCCAATTTTTTGACAGTTCACTTTGAGGTTATGTAAGGTTTGTTAGTAGGATGATTGTTATTTAGTAGTTACGGAAGTTCTAAGTGATTTACTAGATAATTTCTTACTCTTTAATCCAATTTTATAGGACCATAGATTATTAATAATAAAGTGCTGTAGATAAAAACTGTTTAATTATAAACATATGAGTGCAAAGATAATTTGGAGCTAGAAAAGAAGGTAAATCTTATATTGAAAATAGTGTTAGAAAGAGATAGTAGACATACCTTAAGAAAATCCTTCGTTTGACTGTTAGAAAGAATTAAAATAGGAGTAAGGAGGATGTTAAAAAAAAGTAAAAGTAAGGGCAAATCAACAAGGCGTAACAGAATAAACCAACACCATAGAAATTAATAAAAAATAAAATATTATATTATTCAGGATATCATAGGCAATATGTTTGATTTTTTTTTAATTGCATCATTTTGTAAACATTTCTAAATGATTCCAAATTTGATTTTTAAGATAAAAAAAATATCAACGACTTTTTTATTTTTTTTTTATAAGAGAAGGAGGCAAATGCCTATATATAATTCTGAATAATAAGAGAGAGGAGAAACAAATTACAAAAAATATGGCGACTAATTAAAAATCAGTGTATTACATTATTCATGACATATTTATTTCAATATAATATAAAATATTTAATCAGAGACATTAATATATGAAAAATTATTTCTGTTCTCTATTGATATGTTAACATTTATAATATTTTTTTAATTTGTGAAAGTTAAAAAAAAAATATTCAAGATTCCTAAAATTCTTTAGTTTTCTAAACTTACATTATTTTATATTGTTAATAATTTCGTTATATTTTAGTACAATATAGTTATATTTAAATTTATTTTACATCAATTTTCTTTGTGACTTTTTAATACATTTTATTAAATAATTAAATTAAACCATAATTCAAAATAATATTTGAGAATTTTCTAAAACTTTTTTTTATATATCTATTGCTATGAATATAGAATATCTAAACATTATTGACTGTGGGTTTCTGAGTTCAACATTTCCGTTTAAAACATATTATTATCTCTGTTTTTTTCAAACATGAATAATATGTTTTATACAGATATTTTGGTCTCAGAAACCCATGGTGTATTTTAAACATTTATTGAACTCTCGAAATAATTTATTTGTGCTATATACAGTTCAAACCAACCACCTTATATCTAATTTGGCAGAATATGTTAGTAAAGATATGATTTTTTTTACAATGAAAGCAAATAGTACATGAAGTAAATACTTTTTCTTTGGATTTTAATATAAAATCCGTTAATTTGTACAAATAAATTACTTTCAAACCTAAGATGAAGTCAAAATAAATTTCGATACAATTTTAAATAACTAAAATATGGTTTTTCTGACACATTTTAATTTCTTACAAGCAAATGGAGCAACGTATTTCGCATAATAACAACTTTTCAAACTCAAATTCCGATGAATTGAAATCGATTTCAATCTATAATCAAATAACTAAAAATGGTCCTTCGAGTCGGACAATTTTTTGTCAAAACGATAGATTTAAACATCGCTTTTATGATTTAACGATAAGCATTAATACCAGATTGACAACGAGCACCCAGCAGTGTGTCAGCGTGACGCCCGAGTTGCCGTCATGTCGCTGTGACTTACCGACTGACAGCGCGCGCGCTCGCCGACTGACTGTCAGGTTGACTGTCGCCGCGGCTCCCTCGCTGACTGACACTGTCACTGGTGATGGTGATACGTAACTGAAATATAAAAAAACGATAAGAAGTCTGTATGGGTATGAATTGTGTTAACACTAGCTGTCGCACGCGACTTCGCGCGAAGTTAAAAAGTACCAAGTAGCTTAATTTTGACCCAGACATTGTTCTACAGCCGTTCTGGAGATACCTTTTAACAAACATTCATCCATCCATACATTGGCATTTATAATATTAGTTATAGATACTTTAGTTACTTAACAAATCTTAAGATTAGATTAACTTAAAAAATAAGAAAACTGTTGGAATCATAATCGTAGTTAAAAAAAATAGCTTTAGCTTGATAGATAAGCATACAAGTTGTATATCTTGTACGTGTACTACATAATTAAGTTAATACTAACCCGGAGGCTACAGCAGTGATGTTATAATCACCAGGCAGCAACAGTCGCCAGTAGGCGCCGTGCTCCGTCGTACGTACAGAGTGCTTGATGCCTTCAACTATTATTTGTGCATTCTGTAAATATATTAGCAGTAAATTTAATAAATAATCTTTTTATAAAGCTTACAATGCGCAGCATAACAGTTAGCTTAACTGTGGTAGAGTCAGGAACATCAGTACCACGAGTCGGCTAGCCCGATGCTATCTACAGTCTGAGTGTGCATACGTGGGCTTTGATTCGCTATTTCAGCGAAATTAAGGGGCCGTTTGCTCATAACCTACCGTATACTATAGTAAAAAAAAAGCGCCGCGTGTGCCCCGAACCTACAAACCTTTAAATTTTATATTTTGTAAATAGCGCGTCAACGTGCACGTAGCGTGATTGTTTAAGGTAACCATAGGGAAGATTTGAATCCGTCTCGTGTGAGTAGGTTTATGAACTGAGGTCAAAAAATTAGGATGTTACTGTAATAAGTAGTGTACACATCTGACCTTGACAGGGTCGCCATCTTCATTGAGCACAAAGCCAGTGACGCCGACGTGCGCCTGCTCGATGTACGCGAGCAGGGGGTCGCGGTTGATGTCCCAGAAGTGCGGCAGCTGAGCGGCGCGCGGGTACTTGCAGCACGACAACTCGAACGTCACCTCGAAACAGTTCGAGTTCACGTAGTTGAAGTCTTGCATACCGCCTAAGGGGGATTACCTTGTTAGACGGATTGTACTCACAACACTTTTTCTTCAAGGAAGCAATATTGTTACTATGATAATTCTTAACAAAAATAATGCTTAAGTAACTATTTATATGATTACTTAAGAAAATTGTAGACGTCAGCAACATCTATCGCTCGACCGGTGCAGTACCACGACCACAGAACACACACTTCAAGGAGACGTTATTTCAAGTGAGTGAGATGAGTGTGCATTCCGTAGGCTTAAGTTTAGTTCCTTTTCCCTTCCCTTTTCCTATAAAGAAAGAATAGGAATACGAATTTAATGGAGGAGGGAACGCATAGGAAGGGGAAATATTCTTTTACTGTCCAGCTCCTCCATCGCTTGTTATCTGAAGTTGACCTAAGAAATGTAACTCTTTTCGTTAGTCGACGCAAATAAAAACCTACCTGGCACGGAGTACCAGAACGCGCCATTAGTGATGCCATCTTTGAATGTCTCCGGTTTGCAAGCATTTCCTTTCTTCATGTCTGGATGTCTGCTCGCATATACTGAGGCGAGATGCTTGAACAATGCATCATCAGGCGACTGACTCTCTTCGCAGCATTCTTTACCAGTGCTTTGGAAGATATACCAATAATAACTTGATTAATGAATTAGTAACACTATGTCGTAGATTTTAAAGGTCAAATTAAATTTTACATTTGCATCAAAACATTTTAGAGCCTTGTACTATAGTCAGTATAGTCAGCTATCTAGGTTTTATCATTTAATCCTTATGTTCACGCGCAAATAAAAAGTATAATGTTGATAAAAAAAAAGTTTCGTTCTAAAAAAAACTAGATGGCGCTGCGCTATTTAAAAGCACGCTAGCATTTTGTTTTACTGTTGTGTTGTGATTGCGCTTAACGCTAATTAAACGACTCATCCACCCGACCTTTTTTGTAACAATTAATACGGGTCCCGGGGCTTTTTGGGTTCTTGTACACCTTACTAATATTATAAACGCGAAAGTAACTCTGTCTGACTGTTCTGTTCTTTCACGCAAAAACTACTGAACCGATTTAAATGAAATTTGGCACACTGATAGTCTAGAACCTGAAAAAGGATATAGGCAACTTTTTAACATGATTGTATTATGAGTATTATGTTTAAGTGTGACATTTATAATCAAGATTTTGTCAGCAAACAATGGGCCGACTATGAACTTCAAATATATGAAATTAATCGTCAGGTCATGTAACTAAAATGAGACAATACTGAACAAAGATTATTAATATCTCTCAATTTACATAACATTTGTTAACCGCAATACTTTTAATGTGGCGTTTATTCGAAAAAACCTCGAGTACGATGAGCTGAGACGACGCCATCCAATTGACTTTCATTTCTAGCGTGGGTTTCCGATACCAAATTCATCGTTTGAAACATATGTTCATCTCTGTTTTGTCAAAGATAATAACAGAGATGGCGATATGTTTCATACAGAGATTTTGGTCTCAGAATGGTTAGAAGTGTCAGATTAACTTTCACACTAGGGCGCTTGTTATGCATACGATGGCCTTGTTTATCTGTTTATCGTATTGTTATTGTTAATCAAATATATACTTGTGTCAACGACCGTAGTACACTGCGACAATGTCTCACGTGACAATGACACACTGATATGAAAGTGCAAGCCTGACCTTGAGACATACGATATATCGGATATAAGTAACATTTCTTGCAAAGTAAACAGCATATGTATTTAATATGTATTTATTTATAGCTAGCAGTCACCCACGACTCCGTCCGCGTGGAATTAAACAAACTTAATTGGTAGCCTATGTTCTACATCTATGACAAATTTCAGCGCGATGCGTATAGTCGTTTTAGAGACACTTTCGTACATCCATCCATCTAAACATTCGCATTTATAATATTAATAAGAAGCAAAATACATATTGTGATTAAATATAGGTTTCCACTATAGTCAAACTTGCATTAAAACATCGCTATGACATGTGTTTTTGACTGTGTAAGCCCATTGTTAATTTTAAAAACACCAAAATCCGATAAACACATTACTATCTCCGTCTCTCTCTCCAAAACTGAGATCAAAACATGTATTAATATGCATACTTCTTATCTCACGGTAAATATTTCAAAAATGCAAACCGGCTTGAATGAAAATTTCAATACGTTTGACAGTCATGTTAAATCACATGACTGTTACACTTTTAATTGGGACGCATTTTTTTCTGAATACAACTTTCTTTTTTTACTTTTAACTACTAGCGCACAATAACGTAGATGTCCGATGACGTCATAACGGCCAGTTTTAAGAGTAGTATATAATAATAAATATATATATGCGGATATATGTAAAGATTATAATTAATATCATGTCATCATAAAATGAAGAGCTATATACCTACACAATCGTACAATGTTTTACGCACATAATATAAGGCCCTTGGTACACAAGTAAATCGTCGAAATAAATATTGTATAGTCGCGTCATGAGATTCGCGTTGCACGCCATTTGTACACACAACGTTGAAAAATCGACGAACGAATCTATTCGATTTAAGTTGCCTTGTGTACAAAGGGCCTAAATCTTAATGCATTTATTACAAAAAGGAAAACAATGTATTATCTATCAGAAGAATATTATAAAAAAAAATATATGAAAAACAGCTCACATCTGTAACCTAAAGGAGATTATATACGAATTTCGATTTGACGCTACTTTTCATACACATACACTATATCTACATACCTTGAATCATCATAAGGATAGCTGGCAACAACAGCACCACCATGCAGGTTACCAGACAATACAAACTGCTTGTTGAGAACCCAGCGTATAACTGCTGCGGTCTCCGGCTGTCTGCCTCCAAACAGATATGCGTCATCATTTGACCGGTTACGATCAAACTGATCGGGGAAGTCCCTGTTCAAGTCTACACCTTTAGCATTGTTACGACCATCTCCTTCTTGTAGTGATTCACATTCTCCTTCCTAGAAAAGTAAATTAATTATATCATGAAAGGAATGTATTTTATTAGGGTTATAACAAAAGATATATAATGTAGGATATGCGTAAGAAGAGGTGAATTCAGATGTGACAGCTGATATGGAAGATTACTACATACTTTGTGAACCCTCCATAGGGATGAGAGCGGATTGATAAAAAAAATGTCAATTTAACTACAATTGTTTTTTAACTTAATCTAAACAAGACATAACTATACTTGAAAAGGAAAATTGCATGATAACACTAAGCAAAATCTATTTATTAATATTTTTTTTTATATCATAAGGTGGCAAACGAGCGAGCGGCCACCTGAAATCGCTGAAATAGCGAAGTGACCGTTGCCCATAGACATACGCAATTGCATATGCCTACCTTTAATCGACGGAGGAGAGGATGCACAGGAAGAAAACAATTTTCCCTTTCCATGCATCTTATCATCCAGAATGTCCACTTCCACTTCCCATCCTTTTCTTATTAGAGAAAAAGGGTAGGAAAGGAAAGAGGACTAAACTAGGCCTCCGGGATGCACACTCATCAGACGAAACACGGAATTGCTTCCACTTCACACCTGTCTTCTGTGTGGTTCTATTATTAATAGTTTTAACACATATGAGTTTTTCACACATAAGAGTCTCATCAGTTTGCTGATCAATCCTAAGCCTAATTGAAAACAACTACAGCATATTAGTTGTTCCAATTATTATTGTATTATACTATCTACTATCTAATCAGTTTTGTATTTGTTTATTGATAGAATAAAGACATCAATTAATAAGGAGCGGTCATGCATTATTTCCTTCTTGGAATTACTGTGTTTTATATAAATATTTCCCCTTTGAAAGCATAATTTTATCATATCTGTTTATATAAAATTATACAGAGTGCAGTAAACAGGGAATGATCCTGTTATCAAAGTAACCTATGCACATTCTTATCATTGCAATGACCTATGCCTTTGCCTTCAATATATCTATACTAGTACCGAGGTGTAGGATATAAGTTGAAATTTTCTCTAATATTATAGTATATTACAATTACACTATGTTAGAAATAAAGAATTATTTTTTTTTATTATAATAATGCACTGAAGTTTTAGGCTTTGTGTAAACAGTTAAGTTTTTTAACTGATGTGTTTTTTCTTCAAAGATTCATCATCAACCTGCCCTTATCCCTATCGAGGGTCGGCACAGTATGTACTACTCCTCCATACATCTCTATCAGCCGTCATATCATTTTTCTTCAAAGATTGGTAACAGTAAATTACTATTGTAAGAGCCTATTGTGTTTATTCTTATTGGAATAATTGGAACATTGGAATTCAACTCACCTTACTCTGTTCAAATCCATCTGGATTCAATGAAGGCATCAAATGTATGTCTGTGGTGTTCACCAGTTTTGTTACCCTGTCATCTTTGCCGTAGTTAACCAAAAGATACTGCGCCAAGTAGACCATCAATTGACGTCCAACAGATTCGTCACCGTGCATATTAGCTACATATTTGAAAGCAGGTCGTTCAGGGTGTGTACTTTTAACACCTTCGCTAATCTGTATCACTAACAAACGACGTCCTTCAACAGACTTCCCGATCGAATACACTTTCGCCAGTTCCGGATAATTCGTTTCTAATTCGTCGAATAGTTTCACTAAATCATCGTAGTTTGTATATTGCGGAGTCTTCAAAAAAGGTTCTTCGTCGATCGAACGCAGCAAAGTATCCTTAATAAATACGGTAAATAAAAGAAAAAACGTGTAAACTAGTCGTGTCATTTTAACTGTACGTTTACGACTACGAGCTTAACACAATTGCAATATGCAATTTAAGCATTAAAGTAAACAAAATACAATCTTATCAATATAAACATTGTCCAGGACGATCTTCTTCAGATATATATTTATTTTAATGCAATAAAACACTAGAACGATGAGTAACAATTACGAGTTATTCACCCACCCACTTTGACAACCAGTCTGAGTGCAGTAATCTGACAACAGCTGACAGCTATGAGCTGTCAATCATAGAGTATGTTGCTAGAAAGTAGATTATATAAATGTTAATGTTGCCATTCTGGTTAATAGTTAACAGTAAAAGTTAACAGGATTTTGTCAAATTCAAACATGATGCGAAGGTATATAGAAATATTGAAAATTAATTTGAGACCGTCTCAGCGAGTTCTACACAGGAAAGGTACAGTAAAAGTTCGATATTTTCATATAAAATTTAATGTATATTTTACATATCGACAAAACATAATCAATTTAAAGGAACTTACATTATGCGTAATTAAATAACACTTAACAATACAAATCGTGCGCACATCAGAGACCCTTGGACGAATTTAACAATAGGTCAATTATATTGCAATATATTAGAAACAAGAAACAAAATAATTTTATATAATAATTATTGACAGTATTGAAGATAGCTTATGTCACTTAGGGATAATGCTGAATGCCAATGATGAAAGAATATTTAAAATCAGCCAAGAAGATTTTGAGCTTAACCGTATGAAATGCAAACATATGAAAAAAAAAACTTTTCTCTTTCTAATATTCGTAGATATCCAATTAAAAACACTGGTGAAACTTACATATATTGCAATAAAACTGACTAATAAAGTAATAAATTAAGCCATGAACACATTTCAATTAAATTTGGATTTTTTACAAATTCTTACAAGAACATTTCAAATACTTAACTATAATTGGTACAAATAATCTTTACAAAAGTCGTTTACAAAATTCAACACTCTATAAACCTATGGTGGTTACTTTAAAATGTACTCAGTGGGATTACTGTCTTTTGTTGGATATATATATTGGGTTTGAGCGATTTAAAAAAATCTGTATTTACAAAATACAGCTAGACTATTTGGTGGAAAGGGAAATTCCATTGATTCCAGATAAGAAAAAAAATGGCGAAAATTTTGGATTGATTAATTTATAAAAGAATTATACTTTGTCAAAATAAATTGTTGTGCGTTGGTAAAATCAATTCTATCGGAACAAATACTTAATAGAAATACTGATTATCTTAAAGCACAAATAAACAACAGAATTAAAAGCTTTATATCACAGAAATACTATTATAACAATTATTTATGTGATGTCATATAAAAATTATTTACTTTGCATTGTATGGAATTTAAGACTTGCTGATATTTAAATATAATTTTCAAATAAAAAGAAAACTAAATTATTGTTAGAAATTAATGTCATTGAACGATAACCTTTTGAAATTCGCGCCAATAAGAAATCAAATATCACAGATAACCTATAGATGTGTTTCAGACATATTTGACGTCTAACCGAGAGTCGATTTTCAAAATGTCATTTTGTATTGTATAATACCAACCCAGAGGAAATTTACTCATACAAAAAGCTGCTCAGGCCATTTTTTTGTGTTCCAGATTAGGTATCTATAGGTTATTTATGGTTATTATGAATTTATTATTAACTATTGGTTTCTGAGCCCAAAATCTTTGTATAAGATATCGGCAACACTGACATTATCTTTAACAAACCAGAGATAACCACATGTTTTAGGGGATTCCAGTCTCAGAAACACACGGTTTGACGTTTAATACTTACAAAATTAAAATAAAAAAATAGCATACGATGTCTAAAAATAGCTACCTATTAAAGGACGGTATGTCTAATACAAAAAATTGTGCTAACAGTTATGATACATATATGAAATTTTTATCAAAAAAAAACTAAAAACAAAATTGTCTCGGAGCTAACTTATGTACTGAAAATGTCTGGCGTTTTCTTTATATCATAGACATAGTAGCGGGAGATGTTTGTGTTTTATTTTTATGTTTTTGTGCGTTTTATAGTAGAAACATTTAGTAAAGATATAAACTAATATTTCTTTAACATATATGACAATTAACTTTTACGAATCGATCATATGAAATTGTAAATTTTATTACATTTATATACTTTTTAAATATTACAAATATTATCTTAAAATAATACTAATTGTTCATTACACTACGTAATAAAACTTCCAAACACACACACACACACACACACATCTTAAAACAAACATACACACATAAATACATAAAATACAAAAAGGCACTTCGATTACAAATGTCAAGGCATAGACTTCTAAATATTTTGAACACAATTTTACTTTGTATGTTATTTTTTATTACAATTGTTCTTTCATATAACATTAATAAATGTTTAGCTGCTTATATCAAAGGCAACAAGGAATATTTTATGATTCCCGCCAAAAATTTTGAGGTTAATTTTAAAATGTTGCCATATGAAAATAATTTTAGTTACATTGTAATATATTTGTAAAAAAAAGCTGCTTATTTCAAAGGCAAATAGGAATGTTTTGATTCCCGCTAAAAGTTTTGAGGTTAATTTTAAAATGTTGCCACAAGAAAATAATTTCAGTTACATAATAATAAAAAAAGCATTTTAAACGTATTAAGATAAAAAAAATCAGTATTTTTGGTCTATTGACACTTTTTGGTTCAGTAATTGTACAAAGTTGACAGTTTTTCAAAGAGCATACTTAAAATACTTTGGTTTTAATTATTTACTGTTTCGGCTGGAAATGCGAAACCCAAAAAATATTGGCTAAAACTCCTGCTATCATAAGTGAGAAGTAGAGAACGACCGCCGCCCACCATAGTCTCTTCTCCCATTTCCTCTTTTCTAGATTACGTAAAACTCCTATACCTACAAGTAAACCTGAAAAGTAATAATTATAATATTAAATAATTTAGACGAAAAAAACTGCTTCTGAGTACTGAAATATTAAAAAACAGTTAACAAGCATTTAAATTGAAAATTGTTTTGTCTGATGTCTGAGATTTTGAAATATTTTACGGCCCTTTTCCACTAATGGCAGAAAACCAGGGTTATTTAAATTCCTACTCACTAAAACCTCTTCGGTAGCCAATCTCAAGTGCGACTGCAAGGGCTCTAATAATGCAAAGCATCGGAATACCCTGCACTGAGCTTCAGCACGACTCCAAGACAATACAGGAAGTATTTGCTTATACAAAGATTCAACAAAATGGGACTTTGCGGACACTTTTTTACCCTTTATTAGGTCTTATAATCTTTTCCTAATACTTTTTTGGGTCCCATAATTTGGCACGACTTACCGGCGACTGCGCCCGCGAGATGTGCGACATAGCCGATGTTCTGCTGCAGATGTCGCCAGTAGCGGTCGTACACCGCAGTGCCCACATCCACACTGGCCAGCAAAAGGAACACCAGCAGTTGTACTATCGCAAACTCCATCTCTGACCAGTTCTGGAACAATGGAATTGTAGGTACAGCTACATAGCTTGTAGATTCAAGGCCGTTAATTGATCACTAAGAGAAGGAAGTGAAAAGATCTTTCTGGACTTTTCAAGTTGAATCTACATTAAGGGATTACAGTTAAAGACTCTGAGTGCGGGATTTAGATGAAACGTAGTATACATAATATTTATGAAATTAAACCTAACCAATGTAACCTATAGGTAATTACTCACCATAATAATAGTAGCGACATGTGCCGCGATCAACGCATAGACGCCACCCGAGGCACCCGCCAAGTACACCTTGGGGTCAGTGAGGCTGGTGGCGAGACTGCCGGCTGCTACCCCCGCCAGGTAGACCAGCACCACTCGCCACCACCGGTGCACCATCTCCAAAGGCACGCCCAGAAACAGTTGTACCAGCAGATTGACTAGCAAATGCACCACGCTGAAAAACATAGGGTGATTTAGACAGTTGTAGACGTGCAAACGAACCTCATACTTTCACACAACATTTCTATTCGATTCAATTTCGATCATATAATGCAGGACGCAGAAGAGTCACCTACTTGTATTATTTAAGTTAATTAAACCTATTTGATTCTCACGGCACAGAAATAACACTGTTAATTAAAAAATGTCGTCATATAAAATTATACAGCCAAAGTGTTCAATTATAGTGCGTTAAGTACGTTAACCATTAAGTTTAATCTTAATCGTTATAGCCTCTTGTGAGCAGGAACACGTTCCTTAAACAGCTTGTCATAATTTTCTTACTTACTGGCGACTTTGTAACAAAACTGAGGACTAGCCAGGATATTGTGTTGCAAGGCGTAACAACAAATAATTTTAAGTACAACCAACGCTGTATTTAGGTTAATTAAAATAAAACCGTAAAAGCTGTTAAAATTAAACCTAATATTGCTTCACTCAAGAACATGACAATTAGATCGAAAGAAAATATGACTTAATTCTATGATTTAAACAAAACAATCTTTACACCACAGATCAGACCTTATTCAAAAGTAAAATAAACTCACCCGACATGCACCAACATGTACGTCAAGAACCGCCAAGCCTCTTGTCTTTTATGTGGATTGTAGATGAAGATCTGCGCGATAGGTCCTGTAGCATCAGTCTTGCCTTGCGCGGCGTCATAGCAGAACAGCACTATCTCCACTAGGGAGATGATGATCATGCAGACGGCGGGCGGCCAGCAACTGTACTCCTCCTCGTATGTGCCGTCTGTGTACGTGAAGTATGCTTTGCTACGGGTCGGGACTGCACGCAACACAAGGTAAACAACAAGGGAAGGGACATAAAGAGGGAGAGGAAACAACGATAAAGGGAGAAAAGAACAAAGTTAAAATGTAAGAAAGAGTAAATGAAGAACAGAAGGGAACAGCGATTGTAGTACAAAAAACAGAAACAAAGGAGAATATTCGAAAGTAAACAGGATAAGATTTGGCAAAGATTCGTCCGTATTGGACGTTGGTGGTTATTTTCCGTTATAAATAGCGCGCAACAATAGCGCAGAAATAGTCCACGCGAGACCCGCATGGCATGCACAGGACGCGTTAAGTCGATTAAGTGGATAAAAAGGAAGATATGTCGTCACATGTTTAAATTTTAAATAAATTAAAAGTAATAGGATCACATGCGGTTAAAATGGAATTAAAAAAGAAAGGATAACAAACAGCGGGGTAAACAAAAGCAACATTGGGATTGGAGAGAAAAGAAAGTTTTTGATTAGTAATTTTCATGCGGTTTTAGTCATTAGTTAATTCGTTAGTATGAGATGATATCTACATAATAAATTGAGCAGATGCAATATAAAACTATCACATGCATATAAATTACATAAAAATATATTACATTAGAGTACTATCATTTGATTAGTTGAACAAATTACGAAATTATCAATAGGTAAGATATAAAAATGTAAACAAACGTACAACAGTGTGTTTACATATCTAGTCATATCTATATAAACTAATCTGTTGTACACATCTGTTACGTTTTTATGACTAATAGCTATTGTCTGTGTTATCGCATTACAAGGTTAAAATTGGCCTAAATCTACCTATATCTTATTAGCACAATTATCACTATTACTGAAATACATAACTAGTACTTACTCCGATCTTCAATTTTAAAACAAAGTAATCTCCATAACAACCGAGTAATATAAAATATATGCTAAATATGAAACGGTTACACTCACGTCCAACCCCTTCTTCGGGGTGAGTGGGACTTAAGTTAATAATGTCTCACAGAAGTTAAAATAATTTAAAATGTAACGTATTATGAAAAGTAGCAGCTGATCCATTTTAGTCCATGTTAATTTGATTCCAACATATATAACTATTCCCTCCACAACATAATTTTGGAATTGTTTTTTATTTATAAAAAATAATATTTGAACATACTCTATGGGTCTTTAAGCATGGTCTAATCGAGGTTTCTGTTTGCCATATCATTTTATATCTGTTAAATACCAGATCGATCCAAGAGACATCCTTATATCGACTATTTACCATCGTATGCAAGTTCTAACCGCTTTATCTCGCATCTATGATTGTTATATTTTCCTCGTAAGATGACAAGGACAACCGCATAATCCGATATTATTGAATACGTTCATAAGACAATACATGGCGCGTTTACCCTAAATAACTTCGTGATGCATAAAATGTACAAAAATTTAATGTGCGTTAAACTTTACTCATATCATTAAATACTTTAATTGTTTAAAATATTTATACGTAAAATAAAATAAAAATATGTTTGTATTATACGTTTTGATTTAGGCATGCGATTAGTAAGATCTTATAAAAAAAACATTTACTTTTTTCAATATAAACTATTGTAAAATTACAAAGAGGCGTACCAAAATAATTTATAATACTGCGTACATATCCAAGTATTTTATTAAGACTGTTTACATAAAAATTACTTGTCCGTGTATCAGTTTGCTTGTAAGATATTTTCTCAGTCTTACACGCCTTAAACCACATATTAACAACACTCACTCTAAACCTTAACTGCATTGTTCGAAACAGTCAATTAAAAAACAATTAAAGAAAAGAACAAGACACATTTTTTCGGCTACATTACCTACTAAACAAATAATAATATCTGTCACATTAGCATTTGACAGCTACGTTTTCGCGCGCTTTTTGTTTTTTTTTTTGTGCAAAAGGGATTAGACGCGATGCAGTGGCGTCCGTTTTGCCGCGCTTATTGCAAAATACTACCGCAAAGGTTGCAAAGTAACAGACTGCAGCCAGTCTGGCTTAATTGGTGTTCCTAACCACGATGTCAATGTGTTATAAAATGTTATAGAATAGTATAGTTTGCAAAACATAAGGTCGTAGGTTCGAATCTATATAATTTGACAAATGTCAAATAAAAAAAAGTTACTTGGAATGGTATTAAATATAAGGTAAAGGTTAAACAAAAATGCAAACTTACAAAAAAAATATTATTATACATATTTCTATCTTACTATTCGTACTAATATTATAAATGCGAATGTTTAGATGGATGGATGTTTGTTATACGGCTGCATGAATTTCGCTGATATTTGGCATAGACCTAGAACATAGAGTAGAATATCACATAGGCTACTTATTATTTTTTTAATTTCGCACGGATCGTGTCTGGTCGATAGCTAATGTCGTATAAATTTAGGTAAATAGCAACACTGAGCGTCAAGCGGGTCGTCCGGTCAACGTTTTAATGGAGGTCAAATTGACCTCTGACATCGCTTAGCTTTATACATGTAATTGAATAACTGTGTTACAGACCTTTGTTGCTTAATGCCTATAAATAGATTTCGATAGAAAGCAGGAGAAAGTTAAAGTAAATATCATTAATATGTAATGTTTTACAGCATTCATTATTTTGTGATCCGCTGTTTTTAAATATTTTTATACATTACTAGCTGTCGCCCGCGACTCCGTCCGCGCGGGATTAAAAATAGATGTTGACCGATTCACAGACATACTCAATATGCTCACATAATTTAATTAGAATCGGTCATGCCGTTTCGGAGGAATATGGGAACGAAAATTGTGACACGAGAATTTAATATATAAGATTAGTTAGAACACTTTGCCGCGAATGACGTGCTTTAGTTACAAAGTCAAGTGTCAGAATGATTAGTGAGGGGACATAAACGTCGACATTTTAGTAAGGCTAGTGTTGCGCCAGTACACCGGTACAGTGTCGGATTTTCTTCCTAACAATACCAACAAGATAAATACATAAGTGAAGAAAAATATAGTGATAACTGGAAGGAGAACAGGGCTCCGGTTACTTCGACTAATTATTAACCTAATTCAACTTTTTATACATGGAAAATGTTCTATATGAAAATTCTACGACTATGTTTCTACGTTATCTTAGTTCATGTACGCACATGGTTCATCATCTGTCCGTGCCGCGCGTGAGATGGAGGTAGAAACGTCATTCATCCTCAGTATGCCAGATTTGGCACACCTAGATGTGGCAGACACTTGACATGCCACATCCACTGGGAACGCAACGTAATTCCGTGTCACGAATCTTGTTTTACGTCCTGCAGGAATAACCTTTATTAAACTTGAGAATATTCATAAAACGGTAAGTTTTTATTACAGCGCCATCTAGCGATTCTGTGGTAACAAGTTTATAAAGCATACTGCGTAAGTGCTTGTCTTTTCTTCGCTGTATTGTTAATTTATTCGCTATGCGAAGTTTACTGGCAGCAATAATTCACATAACATCCTGAAAATCGTTCTAAAAAGTAGAATTTACGTTTAATGAGAATTGTGAAAAAAAAACTGACATTGATTCGTGTCTATGATCACCTTGATAACATCAAAAAGGTCATTTTAATTTAATACTTTCATTAAAATATATTTTATTATTTATTATATTTTTTGTTACATCGTATCATGGTCACTGACATAATGGTAGTGACATAAATAAAAATTTTTCAACATATCTTTGTCTCTTATCAAACAAAGAAAATAAATAAATTCGATATTCGTATAATAAGAGATTTATCAAAGTTAAGTAAACAAAGTGAGTCACGTATACGTTTACTTAACCTTGACTTTAATAAAAATTATAAATTATAAAACTGTTACGTTTGTATTCGTAATTATTTTTAATAAACTAACTTTAATTCGGGTACTAGTATGTAATTAAAATTAAATATTTTTTAGACATTATTAATAATAATCCTCTGGCGCGAATAACATGCTTTCGTTACAAAGTCCAGTGTCAGAATGAATAGTGAGGGGACGCAAACGTCAGCCAGTACACCGGCACATTTTCGAATTTTCTTCCTAACAATATTTTAGGACATAAAACAGTAGAAATTTACAAAATTTTAAATGTTGGCAACCATGGGTTCGCCAGTAAGAGCTAGAGGGAGAGGTTGGTTATTGTAAATTGTGCCTAAAAAAGATTTCGTGCGTCGATAGAGAATGAATCTCATTACATTAAATGTCATAGGTTTTTATGTTAAGGTAACTCTGGTACGTGATTTAATTTAAAAAAAAACATGGTAATTTTATTACTTAAATGTTTAAGGAAATATCAGTAAATAATGATAAAGTTATTATATTTTAATGATAAATATGAAAATATTTCTTTTTGGTACGTAAAAACAACATAATATACAAAAATATTAATAATTTTGAATATAATAACATTCCAATTAAGTTTTGCGATTTACGTAATATTTCAGATTCGAACTTACGACCTTGAAAGTGACATTAAAAAATCGAATTATGTTTTTACCACGTTGCTATTACTAATAAGACCGCCTCATGTTTAAAAAATTAAACCTAAATGTATAATAAAAAAAAACCCACAACCTTCCTATTTTAAAAGACATGACGTAAAAACAACTGGCCACACATAATAAGCGACATCAGTGATGACAAATGGGAAAAAAACAAAATCATAGACAATTAAATGAAGAAAAAAACAACAAAAACAAATGATTGTCAAAGCGAATAACATATCCGTATCTTGGGATACTTTGGATAAAAAGAAACAAATGAAAAGAAAGCAAAAATTTCGCTCTCTATGGAAACATGGTCATTGATAGAGAAAGCCTGCGTGTACTGGAGGAATAAAATTTATTTTTATAAATTGCTACATACATCTATAATTCATTAATAACTTAAGCAATCCTGTAGTATAGATTTCTGATACATAATCTATTCTGAAAAATATAGGTGGTTAGTGGCCATTAGAAGGTCCATTGGGACAATTCCGACCAAATGTATTACTTTTAACAGCAGCAATTGACTTTGATTGTTATAGTCTTTGGAATGACACACTTCTATTTTAAACATGGTCTGATGTCAAAAGATATAAAATTCAGACAAAGTTCTGTTCTATATGTTTATACAACACTCGTTCAGTTTTCAAACGACAAACTAGTTTCCATGTAAACTATTAAAAAATATCGTAAGATGATTTAAAACCAGTACACGCGAAAAGACATTAATTTATGAAAAATGAATAAAAAAAACAATGGCTGAAAAGTAACGATGACAACATTAAAACCCAAGAAGAAAAAAAATTAAAAATACCGCCATCCGACGTCGACACCGCTCTGAATCCTGGCCACGTTCCTATCAAACAAATTTAGACTTTATACAAATAACATAAGCGATAAATTAAAATGTTAATTGCATTCGCATAAATATTAAAAAGTTAAAATAACAGATAATATAATAAAGTTGCGTAATCACAGATAAATTACATTACGTGCATTGTGTTAGGTACATAAACAATATTGTACATTGCTCACATCAAGTCTAATATAAAGTTTTTTGTACAATTTCTAATATAATACTTATTTACTTATTATTTAACAAGAAAATATACAACACAGATTTTGTGATACCTTCATACATTTGACTGGACATAATTTAAATTATATAGTCATCCCTGTCTTCCATATATGACAAAACAGAGAAAACAGTATATTTTAAACGCAGATTTCGGACTTAGAAACCCACGGTAAATCAAACCGACTGAACGGATTTTGGCATACGTAGTTTCGTTTCGTATTTTAAAACTCACCAGTAGTATCAACAGGATCTCTGTGAGGTATTATTGAATGAACGTATCTGGCGACGAAGTGTCCAAACACCGCTTTGAGGTCTGGATTATGCATCATTGCGACAAATTCATCAAAGTTCAGATATCCAGACATATCTCGGTCCGCCAGCGCCATTATTTTCTCCACTACATTATCTGGTAGATCATGATCGTATTCTCTTGATTCAATTATATTTTTTAATTCCTCGTATGATATCTTCCCATCGTTGTCTCTGTCGTACTGGAAATAAACAATTTCATATTTAAAAAGAAATCTTACTAATGTTATAAATGCGAAAGTTTAGATAAATGGATGTTTGTTTGGAGGTATCTCCTGAACGGCTACATGGATTTCGCTGAAATTTGGCATAAATGTAGGACATAGTCTGGAGGAATACATAGGCTCTAATTAAGTTATTTTCAGATAGCTAGTATATAATATCTGTAGAGCTCCATTCCTGTGACCCTTAAATTAATACGTATTGTCATCACTTTTCATTCTCATAGAAAAAATAGAGACAACATTTGTTGTTTCGGCTGTAATAACTTTAATATTCTAGCAATAATCAAGGTTTCCTCATGGTCGCGTAAAGGCATTTTTCTTTGTTTTCATATCTTAATATACAATATCTATTGAACAATAGAGTTACGCACGTAACAATCTTATATCCTTTAACCGCGTAAAACAATATAAAAATGTAATTTTATCTCTACTCATATTGTCTATTTCAAACATTAGGTCACGTACAAACACAGCCGGTTAGTGTGTTATAAACAAATATTTAAGTGATCCATTTCTGTTTAGTTTTTCGTTGATATAATTATTATAGTTCTTTTCAAATGTCTTTGCTGTCCAAGGTCATTGACTACGCAGTGCCCTCCCCCGCGTCCCGCTACACCCAGCTATAACTAAAATTGTGTTCTACGCAGCGAATCGCTCGAACTTAAGAGCCGGCGAGATATGTGAAAACTGATATATAAGATTTAAACTTAATAACGGATTGCGAATAAAATTGTATTGCTCACAGCGGAAAACAAATATCAGTTTGTAATGATATTTGATACTATATCGATCAGTTTTTCGCAAAAGCCTGGGTGTTGCTAGCTAATCTAATCACAGAGCAAACAACCTGTTATCAAGCGAATTGCCAACACCTATACGCCATCCATTCAATACAAAGGCACGTAAGCAAGAAAAAATTTAAGGCTGGGTTTGCACTAGCGTTATCGAACTTGTTATACTTTCGTAGCAAAACTCTACAATAAATTACAGATAAATCGGTTTAAAATTCCTAGTTTATAAATAACTAATATATTACGCTGTCACTGAATATTGAATGAACATAAGATAGCAGATGTGTTCAAAAGTTACGATAACTAACATATTTTGTAAGGTTTAAAAATAAACTTTTAAAATATACACTCACTGAAGTGTATACATTAAATAGTTTCGAATGTTTATCGATGATTCACGAGATATATTTATTTAAAAAGCTATTGCCCTAGTGTATACGAGGTCTTATGTTTTATACAGTTCGCCAGTATGATAAAGCCACGGACAAACCCTTATATCAGTTATATTGCCGTTAACTGATTGTGAAAAATTACTATCAATAAACTAAAAAACTCATAATATAGGTGTTAACAAAAAAGGAGGTTTTAGCAATGCTAGTAATTTTATTTTTTACATGGTCCTTCAAGCCGGACAGCAATTTAACTTGGTCCTTCAAGCCGGACAGCAATTGTCGTCTTTATTAGTTAAAATAAGTAGCACAAATGGGAATTGTGTAAGGGTTGTAGATAATTAAAGAATCAATCTCCGAATAGTAAACAATATATAACGTAATTATAATTTTCTGTGTTGTATTAACTCCAACTAGAGAAATTAATTTAAGAACGAACTCAACCACAAACCGAGTTGTGGATATGAGGTTAGAAAATCAGTCTTAAAGTAGGCTATCCAACCACAAACATGTAACATTGCAAAAAATGCATATTAAATTAAAATACAACTATAGACGTTCTACAATTTTAACAAATGCATGACAACATATCGTTATCCTTCTTTTTACAAAGAAAATGAGTGAGACGACAATATGTTTCATAGGGTTCATAGTCGTTTTATACATTTCGCCAAACATTAACGGCTGACGCATCACTTAATTGGTGACATCCAGTTAGCAATTCACTATTTCCTAATAATTCCAATGAGTCATACAACAACTACTGCATTGTAAATCTTATAATATAAATAACAATTTTAATCAAACGCGCCCAATAACATAAAGGCTTAGGATTCGAACTCCACAATAATGATCATGGGTTCAAATTCAAAACTAATGTTAGTACTAAACTATCTAATTCAATGGAAAAACCGCAAAATTAAACTGCAAAACAGACATTAAGGCATCAAAGTCTCTGAACAACAATATGTCAGGAGATTATTCGGAATAAAAAAAAATCAATGGCTTAGGATTCGATCTGCACAACACCGGATGATGGGTTCGAATTCAAACTTAATGTTAGTACTAACCTATTTACAATTTGAGGTATGTTTGAATAAAATATAGTTAAATATACATAAATAGTAAATAAAATCTGCCAAACATGGTATATAAGAGATATCTGAATATAACAGTTTTTTTTTCAACCATGTAAACATAACGGTGTGCTTTATTAGCAGCATAATGCAGGTCACACACGTTAGGTTTTCTGTCATGCTTTTACGCATATTTTACAGATAAAACCTAACATGTGTGTTGTGATGAAAATGTAAAGTTATGTCCAGTTCCTTCGTACTGTGTTATGCATATTGCTTATGCCTTCAAAGTTGAAATATTTCGCAAAACCTAACGTGTACTGCTAGCATAGTTTCACGAGAAGAAAATCGATGTAGAAGTTCAATACACGACTTTCTATTTAGTGACGTACTAATATGTTGGCATATAACAAAAAATCTTACTTCTTACTTATATTATAATTGCGAATTTTTGGCTAAATAGATGGATGCTTGGAAGAAAGTATCTCCAGAACGGCTGCATGAATATCGCTAAAATTTGGAATAGATGTAGAACATACTCTAGAACAACACATATGTTACTAATTAGGTTTCTTGGTAAATTCGCTCGGACGGAGTCACGGGCGACAGCTAGTATGGTAAATATGTTTTGGTGACAAATTACCGTCTCGTGAGTGTTTCTTTTCTTATCATTATGAGTCAACGGCTATCGTAATGTCCTTGTCTATCAATTAAAAACTAACATGTAGTCATTCCTAAAACCATTTCGATTAGCTTCACTTATTAACCATATGCAAACAGTGCACTTTTTTCACGTTCCAGTGTAGAGGGCTTGCGTATCACATTAGCTGTCGCCCGCGACTCTGTCCTCGCCGAATTAAAAAACTTTATTAGTTGCCTATGAGTTCTTTCTAGCTATGTTTTACGTCTATGACAAATTTCAGCGACATCCATACAGCTATTTTGAAGAAACTTTCTAAAAAACATCCATCCATCAACACATACAAATATTTGCATTTATAAAATTTGTCAGAAGTAAAATAACGTTTTTGCTTTTTTTCTTTAAACAATTACACGAGATATTTAATTATTATATAAAAGTAGGAGTTATTGATTTTTTTTATACTTATCACATAACTGGTTTAAATTGTAGATGTAATGTAACATCAATAATTGCTTGATTAAGTAGAATTTTGATACCAAATTTCATCTAACTAATATTATAAATTCAAATGTTTATATGGATGAATGTTTGTGAGAAGGTATCTCCAGAACGACTGCATGGATCACGCTGAAAAGCATAGATGTAGAGCATAGCTTGAATGAAAACATAGACCAGTAATTATTTTTTTTTAATTCCGCAAATACGGAGTCGTCGGCGACAGTTAGTGGGACATAAAATCAATTAACAACGATGTTACTGCCAACATTGCGGTAATTTATGTGCGGATTTTTTGCGTTTTTAGGGTTCCGTACCTCATAGGAAAAAACGGAATATATATTATATATTTAGAGATCATAGTGTTGTCCGTCCGTCTGACAAGACACTTTTTCAAATACTTGATTCATACGATGATAGATTTACGATATTCCATGATTTGATAAATAAATGGTAGTAAGTAGAGTAAAATCCAGATGAAATAAATAATCTATTTTGAAGTATTGTTAATAATTGTTTTGTGAATTTCGACAGACGGAACACTTGTATGAAAACATGTTGTATTTGTTTTTACACATGTTTTTATACAAATGCTTCGGCGATGGAAATGCACAATAAGTTTGCGATAGTTGCATTCAATGTTTTAATACGAGTTTAACAAACTATACGTGCTCTGGATCAACGCCAGATGGATTGAATACGAAAATAGATACAAGTAAACTATATAACAAACAATTTATTCTTATGTATATTCAAATCGTTTCTCTATTAATGGATAGGCGATTGCTTGGAAATTACAGCTTTTACTTCGTTCCGAATTAAACCCGTCTGTTGGTGTTACGAGATCATTAATTCTATCTATATTATTAGTTCGATTCTACACCAATACTACAAAACGCTACCATTAGCGCCAAAATGGCGAAAAGGCACAAAATATTACTTCTTATAGCCTGTCCAATTATAGAGGTTAGTGATTCAAATCTATATTTACGTCACATATGAGGACAGGCGTTTCAAGAGTTAAGGTCATTGACATGGATTACAAAGTATGAGTTTTATAAGATGACTAATTTTAAGACAATTTTTACGTCAACAATGACGTGTCAAAACTGAGTAATGATTATGAGGTATGCTTTAATTATTTATTGCTTATTAGCAATAAGATATAATAGAATTTAGTGTAGTTAGTAGTTAATCGCATTAAATATGCGTTGGTAACACTATTGTTAAATATCCAAGGTTGCACCAAAATACACGAGAAAGTTGGTGGCTCAAGGGTTAAGCATTCGACTTGCAATTTACAGAAATAGATGCGTAATGTCGAATCTTCAAAAAAATATATAGTTTAGGGTTCAATCATAACTGGGTTCCGCAAATATTATAAAAAAAACTTCATGAAGTCACAGGTGCTCTACGCGATGCTTAAATGCAGGAAGGGATCCTGTCACCAGTGACCGGAGTGGCGTTTAACGTGTTAAAGGATGGATTTTTTCATAGTGTTTTGCAAACGTGAGAAGTGTTCTCACACGAGACTGAGAAATGAGTCATCGGAAAATATTTAGCTGTAAACGAGTAAGTGTTTTCCTTACGTTATATAAAACGTAATACGTAAACTACAGATTCATAACTGGACTTATTGCTTAAATATTAATCAATAACAATTTTAAAAACTAGCTAACGCCCGCGATTCTGTTCGCGATGAATAAATTTTTTTTGCTTGTATGTTCTTCCAGACTATGTTCCACATCTATGCCAAATTTCAGTAAGATCCATGCAGGCTTTCTGGAAATACCTTGTAACAAACATCCATCCAAAAAGTTCGCATTTATGATATTAGTAAGATTTACTACGACATTTTAATAAAGTTATTAAATAATCAATGCCTTCGAATCTAGAAAATAGTTAATACATTTGTAAATCTGTAGAGATCTTTTTTAACAGTGGTAGAGCCCGCTTTAACATCTTCGCACGAATTGGCCCGGCTCGCCCGATGAAATACCACGACCTCACAGAAGACAGGCGTGAAGTGGAAGCAATTCCGCGTTTCGTCTGATGAGTGTGCGTCCTGGAGGCCTTATTTAGTCCTCTTTCCCTTCCTACCCTTTTTCTTATAAGGAAAGGATGGAAAGTGGAAGTGGACTTTCCTGTTGAGAGGATGCATGGAAAGGGAAAATATTTTTTTTCTGTGCATCCTCTCCTCTGTCGATTAAAGGTAGGCAACGCTTATGCAAATGCGTAAGTCTATGGGCAACGGTCACTTCGCTATTTCAGCGATTTCAGGTGGCTGCTCGCTCGTTTGCCACCTTATTATATAAAAAAAAAAACTACTAGTGTTAGGCCTTACACATGCCTAAAGTCTATTAAATAAGTTAAATTTGTCTTTCAAATAAACTTGGTATCTGATGAGAGCAAGGTTGAGACCTGGTCAAGGTTGCGGGAGTGCACTGGATGCGGGCGGCACAGGACCAGGCATTGTAGCTGGGGGAGGTCCAGCAGTGGACAAATTTAGGCTAATTATGATGATGATGACATGTTATTAACTAATATTACAAAATGAATAAATATTATGTGTGTTGAAAGAGTCAGCTAAATTTACTAGGATCATACAGAATAAAAATGTCTCTGATTATTTAAGATGTATTCTTACACATATGAAGTCTTACACAATTTATCTATACTTCACAGAATAAGACATAATATATAGTAAAAAAAGTTAATAAATATATTGTTAAATAATAATAAATAAACTTTGATTTGAATTGTTTGTGGAAAAATTATAAATGCAACGGAAACTATATAAAGATATGATATAAATCATATGGGAAAGTACAAATATGATTCGGCTAATCTTATCTCCTATCAGATATATTTAAAGATTAAGAAATGATCCAAAAGTCCACTAACTGACCTATTATAGTTAAAAAAATGAATATAAATTCATTGGTAATAATTAATACAACATAAACACGAATGATGAAATAATCAAATAAATCAGTACTTCACTTAGATTTAAAGTAAAAAGAAGTAAGATAAAAATACTTACAAAAATACCAATTAAAAAGAAAAAAAAATAACGACAGCAATAAAAAAGATTAAATTAACACGACACAAGTCCCTAATTTTACAAACAAACGTGAGAATACAATAAACAAGCGGAAGTATAGCGACAAACAGAGTGAAAGTTCAATATTGTGAAAAAGTAGTTTGACTTACTTTGTTAAATATTCTGCGCCAATATAAATCGGATCTGGTCGGAGTGAGGGGCACGGAAACAGTAGTTTCTCTCTGATGCGAAGTCATTTTCATTAAAAACTATATCGAACTGTTCAAATAATCAAAAATTCACAACTTTAAATGTTGACCGAATAACACATCTCACGGCTTTTGAAACAATCTTCGATTAATCACAATCGATTCATAGCAACGATAAGATAGTAAAGACCTTGTAATATTCGGATAAAATAATATTGTGTTCGTGTTTATATTGTTGATAACAACTAACAACTGTATAATAACCACCTCGCTCAAGATACCGTTATAAACTGGCTTTGGCATCTGACACACTGACATTTTTACATACTCTTTGTAAACTATCATGACGTAAATTGATACGTAATTATTTTGTTTACATAGGAAGCAATCATTCGATTTGTTAAATTCGTGGATCTTAACGTCACAATTATATTTTAAATTAAAAAAAAACAAGTTTTCTACTTGTTACGTTGGAAAAAAACAAATTGCGTTGATTGTGGATGCATAACCGGAACGTATCAATGTAAGCAAGGTTTCCATAGCAACCAACTGTCATCTATCAATTTAGAACCCAAATAAACACAATTTAATTTATGCTCGCAATCTTCTAATGGCCGTTAAATAAAGAAAGGATAGGAAGTGAAGCCGAATACTTAGTTTAAACGAATATAACATGTACGACTTTAATAGTAATAATAAAGTACCTGGAATTTATTGGCTAAAGCAACCAATCGATGATTTACAGATAAAGTATGTGGCAAATGTACTTACTTCTATTTAGATTGCATTTAATGCCAATTCTTATACAAAATAAAGTCTTAGACAATGTTCTGAAATGTTATTTCTGTTGTGTTGTATATATTTTATGTTGTGTTGTATGCTATATTTTAAAAAATGGATTATACTTTTATGCTTTTTTTTAAAACTTACAGAATAACTATCAAACCTCAAACTTGTGCAATAAACTTACCAAAATATGAAGAATTCCTGAACATCTCAACAACAGCTGATTTGGAAAAAATTGAGCACGATAAAAATGATGAACATATTTTCAAATGGCAAGAAAAAGTTTTCAGTACATGGGAAATTAATAATTATACTGAAATACATAACTGTGTTACTGAAACTCAATTAGATCATAGCAATACATTAAATTCTATAGAACATAAGCCACAAAAAGTATTTACTTATATACACAAAGATTGTTATTTACCATTACCATTGGATTTTAATAAGACTAAATATCAAGTAGATAATTTCAATCTACTTTCATGTTTTAAGAATTTAAATTTAGGTGGTAAATTTAGTGGATCATTCGGAGGCTCGAGTTCTACTCGTCAATTGTTCCATAGTGAAGATAGTGTGTTAGAAAAATCAAATTGGATTGCTATGTATGTTGTGTATGATGATTCTTCTTATACAGAGTGAGTTTTGTTATAGTATTATTTATATTATTGTCTTTAATGCAGTGTATTTAATAAGCAAATTGTGGTTTTAGTAAACATTTTATGAGGAGGACAGAAAATCATACTAAAAAGGTTTTTTATTATTTAAATTGCCAAACTTTTATTAATTTCATACATTACATATTTTTCTAATTCTTTTTGGACTAGTTATTACCTGCAACTCCGTCCATGCTGAATTAAAAAGAACTTAGTTACTCTATGACTTCTATCAGACCATGTTCTATACCTGACAAATTTCAGCAAAATCCAAGCTGACATTCTGGAGATACCTTCCAACAAAAATAAATCCATTTAAACATTGGCATTTATAATATTAGTATGATGTTAATTAATATATCTGTCTATTTTATTCATTATATTATGCCAGTTATATTCCAGTGTTGATTTTTCCCACTACTGTCCAGTACTGGCATAATGTAAACTAGATTAAGTAATAAACTATGTTATCATTTTCCAGTGACTCCCAGCTTATAATAAAACAAGAATATATCCTCTTGTCTTTGTATTATAATACCATAGACAATTATCTTATAATATCACCAGATGCAAATGATTTGATGCAGAATCCTTATAAAATTCCAACTGAAACTTGCTCGGGGAACTTTGAATATGGAGTTGAAACAATATTTGATGATTTAAAGAGTGATCAGGAGTTGATTAATTTGGTAAGTTTGATTTTCTTATTTAAAATTAAATTATATTACAATCTCTTTTACTACTCATCTCTTTTACTACCTGTTGCCTGACCGTCCACTCGGAATTAAAAAAAACTTATATATAGCCTATGTATTTTTTCATGCTATGTTCTATATCTATACTTCATTTCATCAAGATCTGTTGAGTCATTCCAAAGATACTTTCTTACAAATATCCACCCATCCATTTGCATGTTATTTAGTAAGAAGTATAAGTGGGACAACATGTTTTAGATAGTGAAAACTCACTTTGGAATGGTTCTCTGATATATCAATTTCACATTTCCAGCTCAACAAATTGTACACAAAATGGCAGAAGAAACATGCACAATTGATACAATTTATTCAACCATCACCAGGGAGGGAGAAATTCTATGTTAATATTGAAATTTTATCAGGAACAAACTTTGATATGGATAATATTTATATTGATTATGAAATCAAGGTACAAACACCAATTTTATTTTTACTAGTTAAAACCTCGCAGGATTTACCAAAGATAATAAGATTTTTGTGCAGCAGTTTGCGAAGTTTGTATTTTTGAAATCGATAAATTTTCGAATGTTTACACGATACTAACGCCATCTATGATCTATTGATAAACACCAACCGAGTATTGCTACTTTATTTTCAAAAACTAACAATAGATGGCGCTGGTTAATAAATGCTTTAATTCTAATTTGATTTTTTAAAAAATTCTGTTCTAATTTAACATTGGTTTCAAATTGAGTTTTATTGATATAAAAAATGTTGATTTTCTAAGATTCCAGAAGATATGAAATGCGAAGGTATTCTGAACGGTAGAACTCATGTCAGCAAAGCGACAAACAATGATATGCTTTGGACATATGGGCATATGATCGAATTGGATATTGAAATTCACGAGAAAATAGGTAAGAAATTTTTAAAGCCAAGAAAAAAGATAAATATTTACTTAATGTTTTAAATATGAATAGCGTCGATAACCTTGAACTATAAAATCTAGAAAATTCCTATCTTACTAATATTGTAAATTCGAATGTATAGATGGGATGGATGTTTGTTTGAAGGTATCTCCAGAACGGCTGTATAGATCTTGCTGAAATTTGTCATACATGTAAAACATAGTCTTTTTTTTTTTAATTTGAATTATAAATTAAAAAACAAATATTAAATAATACTCCTTTAACTTTTTCAATATGGCGTCGTATGATGCGGTTTTAACAACTATACGAACTGGAAGAAATATCTCCTGTACAAATATATTTAGAAGCAATATCCACGGACTGGTGGGGTAGACATCGCACTGAGGGGTACTGCTACCTACCTCTAACGTTAATACCCGGCTATTATAAAGAAGTATTGACCTGCTCCAGACCTGAGGAGATGAACAAGGTAGAAGCAAATACCCGGCGATTCTTTGTAGGAGGATGTCATTTGATTAAGGATTTGGAAGTTTTATCAAAACCACAATTACAGGTATCATTCATACTAATATTATAAATATTGAATGTATCTCCAGAACGGCTGAACGGTTTCTGATGAAATTTGGCATACATATAGAACATAACCAGGAAGAAAACATAGTTTTTTTTGACCCCGCACGGACGGCGTCGCGGGCGACAGCTCGTGTATGTTTTAATTATTTTTTTTCTACGCAAGTCAAATTATTCACTTGCCAGTTTTGCTAATTAAAAAAAATAATATTTTAATAGGAAAATCAATATTAAAAAATCTTTTCAGAATGCAAATTTTACATATACAGTAACAGGAAATATACATCTGAGATATAGTATAATCAAACAAGCGAACAGACAAAGTACACAAGTATCAGGTGTGCCAGCGGGTGTGCCCACCAGCTGTGCACTGCTGCAGGGAGCTGAAGCTGTCCTCAGGCAGTACAGCCACGCCACAGCCAGGCTCGCTGCTGCCACCAAACATATTGACTCTGCTCATTGAAACCTGACAATATGTCTATCTCTTTTGTGTGTATGAAGATAGAGAGAGATGTGCGTATCTTCACCATTTATCTTTATAAATGGTAGGCGATTGCTTCGAAATGATTACTTTAGCTTCGTTCCGATTTAAACGCATCTGTTGATGTTATGTGACAGTTAATAGTATCTATATTATTAGTTCGAATTTACACCACCGCTACAAATCGTTGCCATCAGCGCCAAAATGGCGAATTTCAAGAAGGCACATGATACTCCATCATATAGCCAGTCCATTTGTAAAGGTGATCATCACCAATGCTGGCTGCAGCACAAAATGCTATACATATGTGTCAATAAAACGAGTGTATATTTTCAAAACTCTTATTTATTATTTTTTGTAAGATATAATATAGGTGTGAAACACTACTGAGGTAATTGTCAGTTAAACAACAAACTTATTTAAGTTATTAGTAAAAGAGACTGTAATTTTAACCTTTTTCTCCTAAACAGATTAAACGATGAGCTTCTTGTACATTCTTTCTTTGTCCTAACCTAGTATTTAACTTATAATTATTCTTGATTTCTTAGAAATTTGGTATTTTCCAAATGAAAATATAAATTTTTTAATTTACATCTGTCCAATTTTGACAGCGTCTCTGAGTCTCTCAGTGAAATCAGCCAATCGGCGTGCTCGGCGCACTCTGACGTCACGCTCGCGCGCCAATCGGGTCGCGCGGGCGTCAGTCTGCGCCACACGCGCCATCGCGTGCGCACGTCTGTACGCGTCCTCCGCCGCCACTTCCTGACGTAATAACGATGATTCCCACGAGCTAAGTGCGTTTGATATCGCTACACGCTGGAAAAACAAACCACGTCTGTACCTTTAACACATAGAATAATAAAAGTCTAATGAGAGAAGTGTTTCTTCAGAATCGGTTAAGCCTTTTACATCCTACGCTATCTAAACTATCTCGCTCGCAAATAGGGAAAATTGCCTTTAGCTTACTATAGATGTCAGCATGATCGAGTGATAATATTAAATATACCACAGATAAACAAGAAACCTCTTTATTATATAAAAATTGTCATAGCAACGACTTTCGTCAAATTTCACTTAAAAAATAAGTAACTTTTTTAACAAAATTATTTATAACGAATTTGACATGACATCGGACTGTTGGAGCTGGCGCCATCTACATAGAGCATAGTTTTTCCTCATACGGGACATTACATGAGTTTACAGCAATGATTCCCAAACTTATTTTGTCTACTGCCCACTTTAAGAATATTTTCACATATTTAAAAACCACTATAACTTCAAATAAAATTAATTAATTATTGTGACCTTTATATGTATAATAACGGAGAATTCTTAACGAAACTTTTACTATAACCAGCAACTTGAGACCTGTAGCGCCCACATTTGGGCGTTATCGCCTACTTTGGGAAAGGCTGGTTTACAGCAACAATTCAAAGTTTAAATGTTACCTGTGAAGTATCTCTAAGCAAAGCATTCCTTCTTTTATTAGCTTCCTCTTCCCTCTGTAACGCATGTATAAACTGCACGCTGCGCCGGCAGTGCTCGGCCGCGTGTTGCCGCGACCGCCGGTCTGCTGCGAGATACGCGCGGGATTCCTCCTCCAGCGCGTTGTCTATTATTCTGCTCACCTACGACAATCTGCTATCATTAATAACTAAAAAACACAACAAAACTGCCTTTTATGTCAATGTAAGAAAGATTCCGACTATAATATAATAAAAAGCCTTCTAATTCGGTGTTATTTAGCGTCTCAAGGCCTAATCTTACTGTCGTTATAAATGCGAAAGTTTAGATGGATGGATGTTAGAGGGTAAATCCGTAACGGCTCGATAAAATTTAGCATAGTTGTAAAGTATAATCTGGAAGAACACAAAGGTTACTAACCTAGTAAAGTAATAAAAAAAAACCCAACGACTGATATCACCTATCGGCCGTTGTCTATAACATTGACGAATTATTAATACATCGCCATCTTTTATGTCACACAACACTTATCTCACCTTTCTATCATCATGGAAAGCCATCAACTCCTTGGCACGATGATCCTTGTACCGAATGCAGTCAAGAAGTTGTCCTCGCAGCGCGTGCTGGTGCAGACGCCGCCGACCTTGCACCAGCTCGCCCAGACACCGCTCCTGGCGACGTTTCTCCTTAATATATTGTTTGAATTGTTCCGACGTCTGCGCTTCTATCTGAAATGTAAGGGTATATTATGCGAACGATGGGAGTGGAATGTCACTAATCAAGCGCAACGCAAAAGCAGATAGATATTTTTATATATAATTTATATATTATGATGTCATCTATAAGATATCAGAAAATTAACAAATATTTAGTTAGAATGCAAACCATTTCTCTTTCCCGTTTCTCCTCTCGCCACATCTTATGGAACTCATCTGCCAGTCTGTCTCTCTCAGCATTCTCCTCTCTCTTTCTTGCTAAAGCTGCCAACAGACGCCAGTCCCGCTCGGGAATAGAACTTATCATGTTACTGTCTTCATAATCCGCATATGTTATCAAATCTGATACAGCACTTGGACCTAGAAAAAAAACAAAAGCGCCTGTAGAAATTTCGTTATTAAATATTAATTTTTTTTGCTATAGTTTCAATCAGGCGCTACATGAAATACTAGAGAAATAGATATATTTAGGGGCATTGACTCTCTTTTAACATATCAGTAAAAATATAAGAGCAGATAAATAACATATTATTAATTATTTTCACTTAATAATTGACTTACGATAAATTGGTCTGGCTGATTTCCTTCTTGGTGACACAGAACCAGATCGCCTCGGTGATTCCATCACTATTTTATAACAGAAAACCATTGTTAAGATATTTAAAACTATTCTTACACATAAAATACTTATTTTACAATTTCGGACAAGAAATCGTCAAGTATTGTATGTAGTACTGCTTACAAATCCACGTCAACAACAAACTGCGTTGACGTTTGAGTATTGATTAAACGTTTTAGTTGCTGCCTTTTTAGACCAGTGAAAATAAACAAAAGGTAATAAAAAATTCTGTTTTTAACTTAGATATAATTATATCTTTATGTTCCAATTTAATTACTCATATCTATAAACGTGGCATATTTCACCGTTATTATTGAGATTTAAAACGTAACTTATCTTAATTTGTTTGCTTCGAATACGATGAGTAAATTTGAAAGAAACAAGCGCTAATCAAAAACTAAAACCAAAAATTAAATTCGCGCATCGTGTTGGTAAATAAATCCTTCGAAAACACACGATGGCGCAAGAAATCTTTATCAGTCGTTATCACAAAGATAATGTTGCCGCGATATCCAGTCGACACCGCGTCGTGGGCACACGACCACGCCACCCGCCATGGAGAAAGAGAGGAAGTTCATCGCAAAAAGAACAGATGTGCTGAGAAAACTCAACGCAGAAAGTCTCCAGCTCATCGAAAGAGGTCTACTCGGTGACTTACCTGATAAACTCAAACCTCCTCCTTTAGTACCACCCAGAGGACAATCCACAGAACTAGCAATCGCTAAACCATCCGGTCTACTATCATCCTGCTTGCCCGTACCCGATTCGCCAAAACCACAATCGGACGATGACGTCTCACCACTCAAAAAGACATTTAGTTTCAGAGATAAATTCTCTCGAATAAGCTTCTTAAAGAAAGATAAAGAGAAAGCCAAATGGAAAAACGAAGAAGATGAAACTAATCCAAATATACAGAAAGATAAAGAACAGGAATATAAATCGAGTAAGCGGTTTTGGTTCTTTCGGAATAAAGAATTACTGGAGAAGAAGAAACAGCACAAACCTATTTATAAAAGAAGTAAGAGTTTTGAATTTCTTCCTCGAGCAATAGAAGAGGAAACAGAAGACAGTGTAAAGAATACCTTGACTAAAAATCAATCGTATGCATTCGGTAGTAACGATACTATGGCAGATGCCTGGTCTTCTACCGAAAGTCTGGAATATCTTTCTAACGTATACTATGATAATGACGACTCTGTATTCTTGAAAAGTATCAAAGAATTTCCTTCAGAGTCTTCTAATAATAATTCAAGTATATCAAATGCAACTTCAGCGTCTAGCGGACTGGTTGTAAACATTATGAGAGGAAAGTCAATGCAAGATTTATTGGATGAATTCGAGAAAGCTGTGGACATGTTCAGTGAGAATTATATGAGTGATTGTGAACCTTATACGAAGACAAATAAAGAGTTGAGTGTGAAAGAGAAAAGGTTAAGTTCATCGTTAAGCAATTTACCTTCACCTAAAGTGATGGTGACCAAAGTAAATCAGATAAGTGATGATTTCAAAGCGGAGTTATCAAAGTTATTAAGTGTGAAAAGTGTAAGTGGTGCAAGGAATGTGAGACGGGGTTCTGTCACCGATTGGTTCGTTCTAGAAGATAAAAATACCTCTTCTGCTGAACAAAATAAGTACAGAAGAGCGCAGAAGAAGCCTACGCAAAGAGTCAGAAGGATTAGTTCCACTAAATATGTAAGTCTTTTGATTATTGTTTTTTAACGTATCGTAATATCTAGGTTAGTATAAATTAGGCTATCGTAAAAGCAATATAATTTATCTACGTATGTCTAGAACTAAGCGTAATCTTTTTAAATCAATAAATCATCAACTGCGACTATATTTTATTATGAACTTTAGTGATAGCAACTATCTTTTATGAAACATTGCTGGTCACATTTTAAGCGAGCATTTTAAACAGTGTTAGAGCCCGCTTTAACATCTTCGCACGAATTGGCCCGGCTCGCTCGGTGAAATACCACGACAACACAGAAGGCAGGCGTCAAGTGGGAACAATTCCGCGTGCAGTCTGATGAGTGTGGGTCCCGGAGGCCTAATTTAGTCCTCTTTCCTTTCCCCCGCTTTTTCTTATAAGGAATGTGCATCCTCTCCTCCGTCGATTAAAGGTAGGCAACGCATATGCAATTGCGTATGTCTATGGGCAACGGTCGCTTCGCTATTTCAGCGATCTCAGGTGGCCGCTCGCTCGTTTGCCACCTTATGATATAAAAAAAGGAGACTTTATGAATAAAATTAGCTTGCCGTATCAGGCGCATTGACCACTCTGACGAGATGAGATAGTGTGTTTGTGAAGGATTTACATTTGACAGGCAAGGATTAAACCTTGTCTTATATTAGATAGATATTTCCGCTTTATTATCTAAATACAAGCTGAGATTGTCTAACAGCGACTAAATTTAGACGTATTTTGTAATGTAAATTTGTGAATTAAGTTCTAGTCAAAGTTGTCTTGTTCAAGTAATGAAGTAAGACAAGACATTCATTCTCTTTTATTAGAATATGCTGATAACTAATTCGCTATTACCTGTTAAACAATTGTAGGCACGCCTAACATAGCTTATACGTGGTATCTCTTCTTATCAGCTGTGATAAGGTACGAAGCGCCTGCCTGAATGTGGCTATGTTCAAAGCGTACCTGAGATCGTTACGATAACTATTAGTTGACGATACTTGATGTGGTTATATGGTTTTAATTTGTCGTATTGACAATAGTTTGAAATAATAATAATAAAATAAGTAAACTTATAACGGAGACTTACAACTTATAACTGATGTCCAAATGAGAGTGATACCCTGTGTGTTAGATCACGCGGCTAAGAGGTTAAGTTCTTGATTTGTATTATTTTGGTCCTGGGTTGTAAACCCACCATGTACTAGTTTGTTTTTCGATTTACATATGTACACTGACAGTGAAGGAAAACATTGTGATGCAGCCTGCACATATCTAGGAAGGAACTCAAAGGTGTTTGTCAATGCATATTGGGTCAGCATGATCTTACTTCTAACTTAGAGAATGATCGTTGAATATTTTAGTGGACATATAAGACAACAGTTTCGTCGTTTCCTATGGTGTCAATGGCATCTATACATATTAAAAAAATTTAAGTATCTGTATGTATGTATTTACGTAGTCGATTCCGAAAAAACAATTTTGTCTGTATGTGTCTGCAAGACCTTGTTTGTTCCGTATAATCTCAGGACCAGCTGGACTGATTTTGACGGGACTTTGACACGAAGCTAATGCACTAGGACATATAATAAGACTACTTTTTTAAAATGCTGTGCTGACGAAGTCGCGGGCTAACATTAGTAATTTATATATCTATGTCGTGTGACACTTGACACGCTCTTATTACATGATGTTAGTAGCATTGAAGAACATCGATTATGCAGCAATTAGTCGCAATTAATCGTGAATTAGTCGCGGGCCGCGCATCGCCGTGTGGCCAGAGAAAGCGAGCGAGTGCGTGTTAAATTATAAAGCCGTTGTCCGCCCTTGATATTCGACCTAGTACACCTACAGTTGTGATTTGTAGGTTCTTGCGTTCACAACATAAATAGGATGGTATATTTATGTTTACGTGCAATATAATAATGTCAAAAACACTATTTATATTAATTAAAAACCTGACTGAATTTTAACATCAGGGCAAGAATACAAATCGAATCACCTCGATAGGAAGATGGGGATTTGTTTAAGGAAGGAAGAACAGGAAGAGAATATTACCTCTGTCGGTTAAGAGTAGACAAGGCATCAATGGGCAGCGTCGCTACTTCAGCGAATTAAGTGGTCGCCTACTCGTTTGACACCTTATGATAAAAAAAAATTACTCATTTATTAATTTCAGGAGGTAAAAATCATCAAATGTTAATAAAAAATACCGCGTATAAACAAAAGTAATTCGAGATTTAATATAAATCGACCGCTATGAACTATAGAGCGGAAACTTCATACAAAAGTTTATCTTAGAAAGTCTAAACGTCGTCCAAATACGAAGACAACTTTGGACGCACGTGTGTCCGGGATGTACGCACTGCACGTGCATTATTACACTCAGGTTACATCGCACGCGGAAGCTGTAGCGGGTAACGACACAGTATAGTATTTTTAATAAATTTAACTTGAAATTTCGATGCAATGACACTTGTTAAAACATATCTTTTGTTTCTTTTTATTCAAAGAGAATGAAAGGGATGACTCTTTATATAGTTATCCCTATAACCTGTTTCTTGCGAACATTTTAGCGCAATCGTGGGTTTCTGAGACCGAAATCCTCGTTTCAAACATATTGTTATCTCTGTTTTGCCAATGAGAGAGATGATAATATGTTTTATACAGACATTTTGGTCTCAGTAACCAACGATAGACGACTTACCAAAGGTATGTGGAAGATTAGCGCGCGATGGAGAGGTGTGGAAGAGACTAGGGGAGGCCTATGTCGAGGGACAACCTGACACGCAACTGGATAAGTTTGTTTATGTTGTAATATTATATTTATTATTGTCAGTTAATAAAGGCTTTATCTATCTATCTATCGATCTAACCAACGATAACTACTGTAGTATTAGGACGTATATTTTCTACCAAAAGATACAACTTTGGTGAAATTTTCAGACTTGCAGAATGCAGTCTATACATGCTAAATTATAGTTCTTATAACGACAAGAACATGTACCATATTTGATTTTTTTTTAATTATTTGACATATAATTTTAGATGTACAATCACATAAGACATCAATCATTGTACTTTCACTGTCTTCCAATCGATTACAATAGCAGATAAAGTGCAGATTACTTATATCACATTGTCTGACCATAGATAAGTAACTGCTTCGGCAGCTGACGCAGGCGAGGTCGCGGACGAAAGCGCAAGCGTGCCCGTGGCCTCATGATGCGTAGGAGGAACAGAGGGGTTTAGTGGGTTGACCATAGATAAATTTTATTACTTTGTAAGACACAAATTTTATGTTTATTTCAAGTCAATGTT